AATGCAAATCATTTAGGTAGTTTTTAAACTGAGGTTTTTGGATTATAAGACAGTATTTCTGGCTTCTGCTTGCACGCTTCATTAGTTCTTGCCAGCTGTGATAATTTGCAATTATTTGTCTTTGATCATACGGTGATAGAGTTACTGAGCCAATTTAGATCAAAATTAAATTGTATAGTCTCTGACTACTAGTCGACATTTTTAGTTTGAATTGGAATGTTCCTGTTTAATTACATCACCACGAGCTGTAGTGTATTTTGCTAGCATAGGAACATGCCTTTATGTCCTAAGTTCTTTTTAAATAAGAGATGTATTTAAACCTTTATCCGACTGTGTAGTTACTTTCAGACATAATGATAATTTGCTTCATGTCTGTCAGGTTTTTGTGCTATTTAACTTTTACCAGATCAAAGAAAACAAGAGCTTGACAAGTTAGGAGATAAAGCATACGAAAACTAATGGGTACACTGGTTTGCATATTGAAACAAATTTCTAATCGTTCGATAAGATGCTTAAAGAGAAGGAAATTAATATCAGTCAGTCAAAATGTCTGGGAAAGCTTCAAATAAAAAAGACGCATACATATTTTGTCGAGTGTTGTTGCTACAAAATACACTACAAAGTCTGAGATCCAGACTCATTGGGACTTCAGGAATTCCGAATTTGAGATTTTTCCAGATATTAGATCATCAGTTTAAATATAGTAAGATGGCATGTAGAAATTATAAAATTAAAAATATCACATTGTGATTTATGAAAGTATGAAGCATTTATGATCTAAAGGAAAAAAAAAAAGCTTATATTTATTTTTTACTTTATTAAACATTTCTTTCAATGTAAGTTGTTTAACTTGCTTCATTTTTTGTTCTAATACTTTCTTTTTAATTCGGTAGACAGACACAATTTCTTGTTTAGTTACATTGTTGAAGTCTTGTAATTGCTGTGTCGAAAATTCCAACTATCTTGTCAATCGAAATTTTTCCATTTTCAGTAACTTCTCTGTCACTTTCTTCACTACTGTTAGCAATATTTTCTGGATCTAGAACCATACCACAGATTTTGCCATCCATTAATTGATTGATGATTGAAGAAAGAGTATTGCCATTACAATGAAAAACTTCTTTTATACAATCAAAAGTCGTTAATCCGGACTCGTCGGGACTTCGGCGATTCCGGATTATCGATTTTTCTGGATTATAGATCATCAGTTTAAATCTGGTAAGATGGCATGCAGAAAGAAATTATAAAATTAAAAAATGAAACCGTAATTTATAAAATAAAAACAATTATGATCTAAAGGGTATAAAAATTTTAAAAAAAAAAAGAAAAAGCTTAATATTTATTTTTTTACTTTATTAAACATTTCTTTCAATGTAAGTTGTTTAAGTTGCTTCGTTTTATGTGATAATACTTTCTCTTTAACCCTTTGCGGCTCAGTGTTCCACTACGTGGAACACCCAAATTGAATCACTTCTGAAACCTTTAAATTCAACCGTAAATAGATAAAAATGCCTTTATCATATACTTTGAACTTTTCTTTTTAAACAGTAAATAGCAGCATATCACAAGGATACACAAAATTTTCATTTATTATGTGTTATTAAAATCCACTTTTTTCAAGTAATTTTTCTCTATTTTTTTAATGATATAAAAAATTTTATTTGGAAAAAATAATTAGGCATAATTTTGCTGGCTGTACTCCAAATTATTTGTTCTATATTTTTTTTAATCTTTCATACAAAAACCATATGCAGAATCATTGAATGAAACCAGGTGTTCCATTAGCGGGAACACTGCACCTTTAGCAATCTCATGCTGTTACGAATCAGAACATCTGTGCTTAGGAGAGAACATCCGTTGTTTACGTTATGAATTCAAACAAAGCAGTATTGAGGGGTGAGGTGTGTTTTGTGTTATGAAAGCCCTAATATTGGCATCTCGAATTTTTGGGGAGTAGTTTTAGGCGGTAATTTTATTAGTAGCTTGACTCATCTTTTGCTTAGACCTGCGCGAAAAGTTTTCCTGTCACTTTTTAGTCTCATTTCCCGTTTATTATCAATAATTGTATAGATATTTTTCGTGTATGTATATTTTATAGGCTTATTTTTCTTTATAGTTAATATTAATCGTAGTTAAATTTTTTATTATTAATTTTCCAAAAATGGCGCGGAGAGGTCTAACTCTTTCCGTAAATTTGTAAATATTTTTGTATATAGGACTTGTGTATATAGATATTTATCTCATTTATCCGTATATATTCAAGAATATTGTGTATATCCAGGAAACCATGTATACAGCCATAATACAGAGTTTTTTCTTTCTTATACAAACGCTTCTACTCATTTTCGTGCTTCACTGCAATGCTCGCTTAGTCGCACTTTTAAAAGCTCTGGCGGTGCAGTGTTCCACCTCATGAAACACCCACAGAATTAAAACAGTAAGTGCAATTTTTACAAAATTTTACCTGTATACTCCTTTAGGACGAAATAGACTGCATACAACTTTTTTTGTTGAAATTCCGATGTTAACGGATATTGCGCCGCAAAGGGTTAATTCTATAAACAGACATAATTTCTTGCTCAGTTACAAAGTTCCGCTGTTCAAGTCCTATAATTGCTGTGTCGAGAATACCGACTAATTGTCAATCGAAATTTTTCGTTTTCAATAACCTCTGTGTCACTTTCTTCACTATCAGAAGCTAATTATAATGACGAGGAATTTGATTTAAATCATATCAAAGACGGAGTACATCAAGATGAAATACTTCATTTAGTAAGGAATTATAAGCCAAATAAAATAAAAACATCTGCTCTGAAGATAAGGGTAGTGTTGACAGATCAACTTCCAATTCATTGCGCGCCGCTGCGTCCCTCTCCGGCCACCGCTGCAGAGCAGCGTGAAATTGATAAACAGATTTTGGAATGGTTAGATACACAAAGGATATGCCTTTATCCATTTTTTGCAGCAATTCCACTTTTTGTTTAATGGACTTCAAAACATACTTTCGCTTGTAGATCCTTACATATAGTAAATATATATCGGAAATTCTATTTGACATAATCAAAGTTCAAGCTTATTATAAAATTGCTCTAACAGTCTGCAAAAAATAAATAACCGGATCCAATTCGAAAATTAAGGAACCACACAATCTGCAACATTAACTGAATTAGATAATTTTAGCTTAGCTTATACCGACCGTTATACATTAAACGCGCATGCTAAACATATTATGCGCATGCGCACACGCATATTCGCAGCCATAAAGGTCTTATGCGCATGCCTCAATGCAGCGCATGCGCAGAAAGTTTGTAGCTTTGAGGTCCGAATTATAGATCATTTCAGATTATGGGTGTTCGAATTAATGACTTTTGACTGTATTGTCTTCATTTATTACCACTTCTTCACACTTCTTTACAAAATATGTTAATTGGAAAATTTTACTTTGGTTTGCAATATCTGAAAACCTTTAAAATTTGTGGCTATCATCATCAAATTTAGCTATCGTTCACTATACATATTTGAATATGTGTCATGAGATTGGCGACTAATGACAAGTGGTTCCCTAAATTTTATCTTGCTTCTATTGCGCACTGAGATAATTGAGCTTGAATTGTATTAGTTATTTATTATACTTATGTCTATTTCTTGCACATGCTTAAGGCTTATATGAGCTCTGAATAATTAAATTCCCACATATACTTAAGACTTATTGAGGGCCGGGGCTAGATATCTTATCACTTGATGCAGTCTCTGTGGGTCCTAAATTCTGCTGCCAAGCACCTCCCTTTGTCTTCGCTAAATTCTGCCTCCTGATGCAGCCGTACGAGCAGTGGTGCTGGTTCTGGGTTTATGTGACAGTTATTCTTAATTCAAATAGCACTAAATGTAATCATTTGGCCTATGAGTATCATTTACAAAATCTATTTTTAGCATATAGAAAGAAATTTTTGTTAAATTTTGTTCATTTTTCTTAGTGCATTAACTTAAATCTGTAATCATTGACAAGTGTAATGTCAACATAAGAGGTTTCCATACTCTTTGTTATTCATTTACTAATATAAAAAAAAATGTTTAGGCATCGCTGCCTGAGTCATTACTCAATTTGTCATGTGTTGATAAAAATACGGTGATGAAAGTAAAATGTAATAAATAATGATTTGCCAGGTTGACGTCAGAGATATAAAATATTAGCAGGTGTAAAATCAACTGTGTTTCTATGTAAAATGTTTCTGTTTGAGATATATGCCAAGCATATACGCAGCTACAAAGCCAAATTATTGATCACACAAATTTTTGCTAAAATGATTGTTTCTTTAATAACAAGGTATTTTATTAAGTGAAATTAAGAATCGGAATTCTCAGCATGATTTGTTACGGGGAAAACTATCAAATGTGCTTGTGTAAAGCAAAAAACAAATTCCTAAAAAAATTTCTGTTATTGCGTTTAAGGTCCGAATTTTAGATCATTCCATATATTGGGCGTCCAGATCTTGGACTTTGTACTATATAAATGTTTTGTAGCTTTTAATGTGTAATTATTCTAATATCATTTAAGAATCAGTGTCATAAATTATATGTATTTTAAACTGTGAAATGGTATTAGACTGTGATTTTAATAGTGCTTTTATTAATAAATATAATTAATAAATATAATAATTTCCAAGTGTAAAAAATGTGTATGAACCCTGAGGCTCCAAACTCTTTTTAACTCCAAACAAATTTCACTCCTTGAGAATGAGTTTGTTTATAAAGTGAAAGATCATAAGGTGGGGATCTTCTGTATGATACATTATTTACACTGCAATTCTTAAAAAGTAATTGTTTTAGATATATTAAATGTACTGTTTTATAAACTATCTAAAAAATATTTTTTCTGATATTCGTTACAGATTTTTCATTTATATATTTAAGTCTTTGTAAAATTTACTCTATAATTTAAAAGTTATTGTGTATTTTTATAATTGTATGCCAGTTTATTATTTTTAATATTTTATATGTAGATATGTTGCCAAAAGTACTGCTTCCTTCTTTGGTCTTGATGAAGAAACAGAACATAACAGTTATCAAAGATGGACCGAAAGGAGAAGAAGGTTGCTGAGTAAAAGATGGGGAGAACTAAAGGTTAGTTTCCTTAATATTATAATGAAATAAATACAGAAGATTGACTTAATGTTTAAAAATTTAATCAGATCTGTATTGCTTTATTGAATTTTAATTATTAGCGGGTTGTTAAGCTGTTATTTTATGTATATGGACATACAAAATTGTAGACTAATATCATGTTTCATTTCAGATTTGAAAATAAAGTTAATTTTCAGTTAGTTTAGTTGGGCTAAAATGTTGTTTTAATTTTTTTTTTTTTTTTTTAGAAATGACAAAAGAGAGTATTCTTCTTTTTAAGGGACTGATAAGTAGTGTGTATAAGTAGTGACTGTGCTTGCAGTAATTTGTAAAGTTTGTAAACTTACTGATTTTACAAACAAATTATTACAAGCACACTTTTAATATTGATAAAGATTAATTTAATGTATGCTGTAAAATGCTGTAGAAATATTTTATAAATAAAGGTATTTTTGCACTGTTAAGTATCAGTCAGTGTCATCAATGTGTTATTAAGCTTCAAGAAAAAATGATTAAATCATATTTTAAATGCATTATGTATGCTGGTGAATTGATCATAATTAATGATAATCATCATTATAATATTGGCTGGAAAAATGTGTTGTTCCAGTCAATGTTTCTAAGAAGTTGATTAGGCAATAAATTTGCATATTGTAAATAGAAGTGCTATATAGGTATTTCTCACAAACATTATGAACATAGGAGTATTAGCCCAGCATTCTAAAGATCTGCAAAAAAATTTTAGATCTGTACTTGTATGAAAGGAAATGGAGAATGTAAATAATGTTTAGAAAATTTCTTCTATGTAGTCAGTTTTAACTTTTCATGTTCTGGGCTGGACTCACCTATGTGGAGTCTCAATGTTAGAGAAAATTATCACTCCACCAAAATTTTGGTCTTGGGACAAGGGTGAGGTTATCTGCAAATTTATTTTATTTCAGTAAAATATTGAGTAACTTTTCATTGATGCATTGTAAAGACTAAAAAAAGTGGAATATTTTGACAAATCAATAATTGTAACACTTTTCTTTCTGCTAGGTTCTTAACCTTTTGAATGCAAATTCCCCAATTGCTTTTTGACTACATATTTTTTTTTTCAGATTATTGCTCCCAAAAGCTGTCCTCTATTTTATGTTTTGTATAATAACAATTTCATTTTATTTTGGTAAAAGTGTGCAGTTTGTTTTAAACATACTTTCTTGTTTTCTTTGATTTAATTAAGATCAAGGATGCATGCTTTGTAGGACATTCTGCAGAACATTTTTAAATAATTTTGACTTTTACACAAAGTTTGTGTAATCTTTGGTGTCATCATTCTTTTATTCATAGTTCCTTGAAAAATTCGTCACACTTAATGGTTCTTTTTATCTGAATGCAGATTGTTTGTTGAATAAGTCTTAGTGTTCGAATGTAGGCAGCTGGTGTATCTAGAGTTTTGAATTGCTTTGTTAACCCAAATCTGATGTCCTGTTTCGTATTTTGGTAATTTAGCAAGTGCTTTGATTTTTGAATCCCTGATTGTACTAAACGTAGTTCATTATGGGGAATCTTTTCCTTCACATCCTTGCTGTCTCAGAGCAGAAATGCTAGGTAGATAGTATAAAACTAGCTTGAAGACCCAACAAGAATGATTTTGTTGAAGTCGCTTTTCACCTCTTAGTGATATTCAGGAATTGAGATTGTGTTCTTTCTAGGAATTTTACATTTATACATTTATTTGATATTATTGCTTATTTTTTTACTGTTATCTTGATTAATTTACCACAGGATAGCAAAATGTGTTTTACAGGTATTAAACTAAAAGGATAGTCTGATAATTAACACTCTGTGTCATCAACTCCTTTCTTTCAATTGAAATCTGTAGATGTCTGTATTATTATAGTAGTGAGGTATTACAAAAGGATCGTATTACAAAAGGCAGATTTACAAAAGTCTCCTTCTGAATGCTAAAGCAAAGTGTAAATTGTTAACGACTTTTTTAAAATCCTTAGTCCTTTTTTAAACATGACCTGCTAGAAAAGGACAATGTCTAATTATAACAATTATATTAGTAGAGAAATCTTATGGAAGTAAAATATAGATATAGATGCACAATAAATTGTTTGTTTTCCTTTCATTGTTATTATATTAGTAATGAATATCATCATTTGTAAAAATTTGAAAATTTCTTCGAAAATATTTTGAGTGCTCTGCTTTTATCAACATATCAGATTAGTGTATTTTTACCTAATGTAACATTCTTCTGATACATGCTTAGTGTTCACAATGAGGGGAAATAAATGATGATTTAAAAAATATTCTTAAGTATATTTTACTTTTTTATTTTCAAAGAAGCAATAATCTAGAGGCGTGACCTTCAGAACAGTATTAATTTTTTTAATCAACTAGAAGTGCCCAGACAGAACTTGCCCGGAAAATAACTCCATGTTTTATACAGTAAATCATATTTAAAGCATTGTCTGTAGTAGGTTTACAGTATGCATTTTAGATGTTAATCGGAAAAATTTTGCTGTTTGTGTTTTTTACATAATATGAAATAGCTTTATTATTATTATTATTATTATTATTATTTTGGAGAAGCACTTTTGCTTAAGTTGCATGTTTGCCATCAGTTTTAGGTATCTGTACGCAATTTTCTTTTGTTTTAAATGTCATATATGAAGACTTTTAAAAAATTTTATTTCAGAATGATGAAACAACACAATCGCTGGAAGATGTCTCTTGTTACCCTACTGTGCCTCAACAAGCTCAGTGCATTTCCCAACATCAACAGCCATCGGTTTCTCAGTTGCAGCCTTCTTCTGGAACTGATTCAATTGATGGACCAAGGAGGGTAGAAAGTGTAACGTCGCAAAACTCCTTATTGTTTCAAAAACATCGGAGGAAAGATTCAGCATATAAGATTATTGTTGACAGTCTTGGACTTATTACAACAGTATGTTTGTAGTTAAATATTACTTTAGTAAACAATAGGTGTCTTTTTTTATTATTATTTTTTCCTTCCTAGTTTCATGGAGTTTTGTTTATTTGTTTGCATCTAGTTTTTCTATATAAAATAAGCATGATTTTCATTTATTTTTCTATTTATCACCATTTTTATGCTGTGTTAAATTTCAATTTATTATTTGTAATGTAAGGGAAGTATGTTATTCTTAGACTGTAGTCAGAAGGTGTTCATCTCGGAAGTTTTGGCCAAGCCATTCAAACCATGCAGCTAATAGTTATGCAGCACCAAATGTAGATAATACATTTAGTGACGACCAACAAGATAATGGGCTTCCATCACAGCAGGTTTGTTTTTTTAATATAAATTTTATTCACTATAGCTGTGTTTTTTTTTAATAATTAGAAGTTTTAATATGTTTAGCTAATGATTGTGTATGCAACTTGTAACAAATTTAGTAACTAATATTTATGTTTGACTTTGTAGCAGTAATAATTGAGATAGAGGAAAATTTCAAAATATCATTACTTGATTAATAATGTATCTTTAATATATTTTCATTCTTAGGTAAAAATGTATAGTTTATTTAGATTAAGTTCTTATTTAATTGCTGTGTTATTTTGCACCCTCGTGTTTAATCAATGTTTTTGTGCAGTTTTTTTAATAGTAATATATTCTGCGAATAGAAAAATGAATTGATAAGAAAATTTCTGAATTTTGAAAAGATTTTATTCTACAAAAAATCCCACATCTGGGAACAGTTTTGTCTGTGCTCTGCAAGCAATGTTATTGCTTTACAAAATTTATGTGGTCCAATAAAGGCCAATTTTTAGTAATTTACTATGTAAAATGTGAAAACAAAACAACATTTTGTGTAATTAGGTTTCGATGTATGAAAGTCATTTGTCTATTCAGTCATTTGTGGGAAAATCGTAGATTGCTAAATTCATGAAGCTATGCAATCTGTTTTCTTTTCAGCCAGCCAATTGTACTTTTTACCTCCCTTTAACCATACATAGTTAAGGGAGGTAATATTTTTTATCCAAAAATTCAGTGGGGAGTTTTTTGTGAATAAGCATGAGTTAGGGTCCCCACAACATGCTTTTGATATTTCTACAATGATGTCTCTCTGTGTGCGTGACAATTTTTTTTAGTTCATGATAATGCTTATATCAAACTTCCAAAATTTCCCGTTTTCTGTGTTTATGCATTCTGTTTTCTGTTTCTGTTTTTATGCATTTGTGTAATGAATTTATTAGATGAGATAAGATTGGACAACTAGAAATTGTACTTAATTTGAAGCGCAGTTTTTAATGAAAAACTATATTAAAATATAATTCCAAATTTTCCAGTTTTAGTATTTTAAGACTTTTATATCAATAGAAACAACATACTAGATTTTAGCTAAAATTGATAAGTTGGGAGTGATACTTTACTTTAACAGATTCATGAAGCTAAAACAGCCCTGAACAGATTTTCATGAAAAAACATTTCAATATAATCCAAACTTTCTCATATATGGTATGCTCACTAACAGACATTGAAAATGCAACACCAAGAATGAATGGTCTGAAAATTATGCAAGTTTGAAGGTAGATGCACGTCATCAAGTTATCTGAATGATGTGAAATGTGCAGCTCTCCAGCGCACATTGAAGAGGATATAAGGGAAGGAACCCCGAAAATGTTTAGTTTTTGTACCATTATTTCTGCTACGGAAATCCTAAAATATTTGTTCTTGTCTCAGAGGACGCACGCAAGCAGAGAATGCTAGGCCATCATCAACGAAGGCAGTTCCATAAGATAGACGATTTTATGAGGGGAAAGTTGGTCCAGTTGGTAAATCTTAGCTGACACACATCTAGATGCATCCACAGTACACTGGCTGTGCTGATAGTGGTTTGGAACAAGGAAATGTGCCAAGTTCGAGGCACTCCAGAGCAGCCAGAATGATTTCGGCACATGTGAATTGATGCATCTGCCAACAAGCAATGGCATGCCCCTAATCCAATTCTACTACCATTCTGCAGCATATTCAAGACACTCTGAATATTCCCATATCGATCAGAACTATTTGCTGTCGATTGGTGGTGAGTGGCGTGCAGTCGTGGCATCTGTTAAGAAGACTGTCATTGACCCCACATCATAGACGCCAACATCTGCAATGGTGCCGGTCTCGTGCGATGTGGATGACAGAAAGGCACAGGATTGTGTTCTCAGATGAGTCATGCTTCTGTTTCTATAATGATAGTCACCGCATACGAGTATGACATCAAATGTGAAGACAGTTCCAATCCGGCAGCAGTTGTGGAACGTCCCACCGCATGACAATCCGGCATCATGGTTTGGGGTGCAATTACATATGATTCCAAGTCACCTCTAGTTTGTATTCAGGGCACTATGACAGCCAAATGATATGTGGATAATTTTGCTGCAGCCCCTGCCTTCAGAGTTTGCTCTAGTGCCCTTTATCAGCAGGATAATGCCCGACCACACACTGCTTGCATCAGTCAACGTGCTCTGCAAGTTGTACAGATGCTTCCCCGTCCACCGTTTTCTCCTGATCTCTCACCAATCGAACACATTTGGCATGTGATAGGACACCATTTGCAGACCCTGCCATTGCCGCATTTAGAAGATGAAAGTATGGCAAATGGGTGCCAGGGAATGGAGAGCCATTTCTCAAGACACCATCTATAGTCTCATTGACTCTGTACCTATACATGTTGCTTCGTGTATCACCATCCAAGGTGGTTCTACAACCTACTAAGCCAATGCTGTTCTCACTCTGTATTATGCATATCATTTCAAAATAAAGATCACGTATTGTTTGTTGCTGTCCCTCTCTGTTTGCCGAGTTTCATTACTTTCTAACCACTTTTCTTGGTATTTTCAATGTAGGGTAGTGTAAAATTGGTAGTGTAATCTTTAATTAAAAACCAATTAAATTATATGTTATTCAACTGCCCAATAAAATAAAGTTTTTAATTAAAAAAAATAATTAAAAAAATAAATGGAAAAGCATTTCATTATGTTGATATGAATTCATTATGTTGATGCAAATTTAGAAAAAACAGCTTTTTACACATGGCCAATTATACATAGAAAAATATAATACTAAATTTTGTATCACGAGTTGTTCCACTGATTGGAACAACAAGTTAAATATTTTTTACAAATTATTAACTGGAACTGATACTTTATTTAAAGTGTGTTGCTATTTAAAACATGAATTGGTGGGAGGCCATGTGTTGGCCACATTATTATTTTTTTGTTTTGCCAATATTTTCTCGTGCCAAGTGTTGTGTGTCTTTTTTTAATGTCTTTACAACTATTTCTCTTCAACTGCTTTTTCGTTTAAATAGTTTATATATATATACAATGTTGAATGATCTAAAATTCACTTAGTTCGAAAACAAGTTTTCTAATACTTGCACAATAGCTGCAAAGTAAGATAATAATTTATTTACTAAAGAAATATTGATTATATTATCTCCTAATACAAATTTAGTAGACGTATCAAAAAAGAGGGAACCCATATGTTGGAAGTTTAATTCCAAAAATTGTGTTGTTTTTAAAGTAACTTGAATGTAAATTATGAAAGAATCGTTTTATGGGGACTTGAATTTAAATCATGAATATCAAAATTTCGAACTTTGAAAAAAATTAAAAACAAGTAATTATTGCTAATGATTGAAAATTAATTGACTTTTCAAGGGGAACAAACCAACTCCCGTTCAATGAACAATAATTAATAAATGCAAAAGTTGTTTAGTCTTTTACTCAAGTAAGAATGATGATGCCAAACTGGCAAATAAAAGTTAGGCCAAAATTGTAGTTCCATTAAGTGATGGGATTTATATCCAAAGTAGAGTACCAAAGAACTCATTTTGAATGAAGCATTTTCGCTAATACAAGATTCTTTATAAATTTTGAGTGAAAATTTACAAAATACTTGAGTAAATGTCCCCCGACACCTTCGCTTTTATGCATGTTATTTCAAGATTATTTTTATAAAAATAAACAGTTGTAATCTTAATTGGAATTATGAAATAGAACTCGAAATAATTGAAATAAACATGAGAAAATTAAGAAACATATGTATTTTATGACTTAGGATTTACCAAAAGATGAACTGGTTACTTGCTCTTTTAATAAACAGATATTCTGCACCCACCCCCACACCCCCGTCTGAAAAAATAAAAGAAGAATATTTTGTTTCGATAACCATCTTGTGAAATAAAAATGTGACTTTTAATTCACATTTTGTTTGTGTTTATGCACCAAAATGTTTGTGCAACCTTTGTTCATGCTGGAAGGTAGATAGAGATGTTCGAACACAAACATGATTTGATGGATCATGGATCCTTTTCATTACTGTCATATGATTCATTTACTTATGGTGTCCATCTGTTTAGTTTTGCAAACCAAAGCTTGCTTCAAATAAATTACAGCACAGTGATTCATTCGAATCATTGCATGAAAGAAATATATGCCATCCTTTGTTATCTCCTCCTACCATTAAAATCAAGGAATGCGACAAAATTGTAAAAATTGATCAAAACTTATTCACACACACACACAAAAAGTATTGTAGGCTGTAGGTATTTTTCTGCTGCAGCGGTTTTTGGAGGATTTTATCATGCAATAAAAATATATCCTTGTTGATGTTCCATTTCATTTAGTATTGAACCAAAGATATGGGGAAAGAAATGAGCTAAAATGTGCCAAAAATGTGTGGTATGTCTTTAATAGAAAAGTTCCCATTTTTTTTTTTTATTTTATTTGAAAACAAATATGTTGACCAAAACACTGTTATTGAGTTTTATAAAATATCTTTTTGTTCCAGTTATTCCCAGATGCTAGTCAGCTTGTTGATGATGTGTTTTTTGAGCAACAGCCCTCTAATTCTACAGAAGCTCAAAGTCAAAATGACAAACTTTTGGCTGCAAGGTTGTATCTGCCACAGACACAAGGGACATCTGATGTAGTAGATACTGTGGATTCTGTTGCTAGGTAATTTGTTATGCCTGATGAAAAAATTATATTATATTAATTTTCACTTACATGTTAAGTAATTCTAAATTCTTTTAATAGACCAGGCAGTCAAACGTGGCATCATTCATCTCCTCAAGTAGAACTTCCTAGTTCAAATGTGGGGATGAAACGTATTTGGAATAAAGTATGTAAATAAAATATAACTTTAACTATCATTAGTTTTGGTACAATTATTAAGAACTTTTCCTTTGGTTGATTTGTAATAATTTTAATATATTTATTAAGTGCAGAAAAATATTATGTCATCTTCAAGAGGCTCAGCTTATCATTGTTTGGGGTCAGTGCTGCCTCTTTTTCATAATTTTTAGAGACTGATACAAATTTTCAAAATATCAATCAATGGGAAGCTATTGCATGATTTTCCTTTATGATATTTAATTTTATTGACTATCTGATCAAATGTTTATAGTCTTAAAAATGGTAGCAACCTCAAATTTAACATTTTGCTTTAAATGAATTTGGCAAAATACTATGCTGCATGTTTTAAATTGTGCATATACTCTTTTAATCTATGAGATGCTATTAAAAAAAAGTATTGGGAATGAAAGTTGGTAAAAAAATAGCAAATTATGCCACTTACAGATTTTAAATTTAATCTCCTTCAGAATAGTTACTTTCTAAAATCATGGACATTCAGCATTACTTCCACTATTTGAAGCATGCCTAAAACTTTTTGGGGAAACAGGTAGTAAACAGCTGCCTTTTTATGTTCTGCTGGATTTCCCTAACATCTCGAAGTCACTGTTCTTTCAAGCAGGATTTGATTTCTGAAAAGAGAGATGTCTGAAAGTTACTGGGATAGAGCTAGTGGGTGTTGAACATGGCAAATTTTGTACTAAGCTGAAACTTGATGCACAACCTGACTTGAATTCGCTCATACATGCTTATGGAGTAGCATTCATTAGGCACTCGTATTTCTTTTATGATGAATTATACATCTCTCTCTTACTACAACATTTCAGGGTTGTACTATTTGATTAAGTGGAATATATTCATGATGAACAGTGCCCATGTAGTCAACGAAAACAGTTAAAAGCATCTTTGCTTTGCATCAACTTCATGCTTGTTGGAAATTTAGATCCTTTACTGTGACTTTACCGCTTGGCCTTAGTCTTACCAAGCCTTAGTCTATAAATTCATAGCTATAGATTGTGATATATCACTTGTTATGTCCTTGCTATATTGTTTCAAAAAGTTTTAGTATTTTCAGTGCAGCAAAGAAAACTGTGCATATCTGAAACACAGTTTTCTTTTTGGTCCTCCAAAAACAGTTCTGCCAGAAAGTTCAAAGAAAGACATCTCATACCCAAATCTTCGGGTCCACCAGCAGCCGAGCGGTAAAGTCACCGAACACCGGTAGCTCAGTCCAAGGTTCGAATCCAACAGTTGAACTGGCTGCATGGGCATTTTCATGGTTTTTCCCCATGTGTAACGTGTATACGAGCCAATTTTTCTTAGAAAGTTCTCCATGAAGGCATCCCTCACCTCAGGCAGATAGCCCTTGAGGCTTTGCTGTAATTACATACACCAATACACCATACCCAAATCTTCAGTATGAATGGACTGAACTGAACCAAAACTAATGCTAAAGTCCTCTTGTATTTTATGGTTGGTGTTTTGACTGTTTTACTATACAGCTGCATACTCATTTTTGATTATTTCTCTACTTTTCTGGTTATAGGTCTTCGAGGACATTTGTAACTTTCAACACTTTCTCTGCCATCTCAGAAACATTTGAACAGCTTATAAATTCACTTGGAACTAGTACACTACTTCCCACACATTTTCTGCAACTCTGAATGAGTCATTGCACAAATACTAAGCTTTTAACATTTTGATGCAGATTTTCTGGTTACATCATAGCCATAGTGAGTGTGATGACATTGCATTAAACAAGTTGTATTAAGCATGCCATCTAAATAGGCAGTTAGTTAAGAGACATAATATAAAGCCCATGTGCAGTATGATCAGAGGTTGATTGTTGCAAGCAGCTTCATTCCGCATTCATTCATTCATTCTAGGAATTTTATAAGCATTTTTTTTTTCTCATTATTTGCAGGTTTTATTGGTTACCAAAGTGACAAGATAAAACTGCTGCCAAGTTTAGACATCCCTTGCTCCCCTACTAATTAAAAAAATAAACTTTAAGAAAAGGAAATTTTATTAAAAGTATTAAAAAAACTTTAATTTACTTCTTAAAATGCAAATTATTGCATAAAAAAACTTGTAATTTATGGTCTGAAATCAACTTCAGCAGTTTATCATTGTCAGCAATGTGATTTTTGAAGCAGCACACCTGTTGCCCGGTGCAAAGATCCTTTCTTTCCCTTGCATAGTTCCTGTGTTTATATGTAACTTGATTTCATGTCCATTTTTGGAAATTTGGGTGGATAATAAAATATTCTTTTCTTGAAAGAATGCAATAGCTTCATTTCACTTGATGGTAATTTGCATAATTTTATATCTGGGGGTGGGGAGATTTCTTACCAATTCAAAAAAATGATTTCACAATTCTTATTATTTAGTTTTAATTTCAAGTTTGAGTTTACTGTAGTATTTGCTGATAAACACTGTCAAACTTGGCAATTTAATGCGAGTTGCTAGTATAAACTGACAAATACCTTTTTTTTTTTTTTTTTTTCCTTCTGAATATTTGCTAATATTAAATAAAAAAAAAAAAGAAAAAAAAAAAAAAAAAAAAAAAAAAAAAAAAAAAAAAAAAAAAAGAGGGGTACAGTTCTATATCTCTCGTTCTACTGGGCCAATTGGCAAAATTGAAATTGCTTTTTTCATGTCTTGAAAACATTACTTAGGATATAGATTAGATTTATATGTAGCATTATTCTAACATGGGTATTTTGACACAAAATCGGACTTTTTCTGAAATAACATACCAATTTTTCTCATATTTTGATTCCACAACTCAAATTATGCCTAAATATTAAATTTTGTAAAATTTGGCGCGAAATTAATGGAGTAATTCAAAAATTTATCTTGCTACAATTTTTTTGGTTTGCACCAAGAATAATTCACGTGGCAAACTTCTTAATATTAGGCAACCAATTTTACTTTCCCTTCCATTATGCCGAGCAGAAAAAAAGGCACCTCGTTCCTGCCTTTTTACATTGTGCATGAGCAGGAAAAAATTCACATCGTTCCTACTTTCAAATAATTTTAGCAAAATGTCTAAACCATATTTGATGTTTTATCACTTTCAACAAATATCCCAAATTTCAAAATGTGCCAATATATAAATTCACGTATATCTTCAGAAATTTTGAATAGAAAACTGTAATTTGTTGCAGGTATGCTTAGAAATACGTCTTCTTTAAGGTGGGGTGGTTTAAAAAATTTATAGATTTATAATTCAAAATTTTTTTTAAAATACAAATTTTAAAAAATGGTAAAAGGTAGCAAATTTTTGGGAATAAACCTAAATTTCGAAATGTGAAAGGAAGAATCAAATAAGTTTTGTTAAAAAAAGAGAGAGAATAATAAATACATACAGAATTCAATCAGCATTGTGAACTCAAATATTTAGAACTACCTTTCTAAAAACTGCTCGTGTGATTTATACAAAACTTGGTAGTTTGGCATAATTTGAGTCGTAGAATTCAAATATGGAAAACATTTGGTATGTTATTTCAGAAAAAGTCTGATTTTGTGTCAAAATACCTATATTAGAACAATACTATATATAAATCTAATACATATCCTAAGTCACGCTTTCGAAACATGAAAACGCAAGTTGAATTCATCAATCAGCCCAGTAGAACGGGAGATATAGAACTGTCTCCCCCCTTTTTTTGCACAGTGTACAGTACGAAGTCCAAAATCCAGTCATCCAGTGTTCTGGAATGACAAACTACTAACTACTAATGACAACCTACAAACTACTAACTAACTAACTAAATAAAATAAGATAAAGTAATAAAAAAAATTCTCCACCTCTTGCAAAGTCTAGGAAGGGAGAATATAATATCTAACAAAAGGAGGCACGGTACTTACCTACTATTGCAAGTGTTTTAGCTCAATTTGGTAATTTTTTAAGGATGAAAATGTAAAAGTTACTTAGCATGTACAAGTTGGTGGTTTTCACGCATTCCTTTTTAGAAAGATTCCCAAACCTTTGATATTTATAATAAGTGTGGTAAACAATATCAACATAGGAAAAGAAAACTTATTTTAACAATTTAAAATACGAATTTGAATTATTAAATAAGGATTAGCTCATACATTAAAAAAGGCACATTCTTCTTAGTATCTTTCTGTACCTCCCCCCCCCGTTATTCTGCTCCCAAAGTACATGGCGATCTGTTTTCACTTAAAAAAAATCAGAGAATTGCGGAAACTTGGCTTCATGCAATCTTCAGCAACAGCAGTTATCTAGAAAATGCATTTCCATTTTGTTCCCTTTGGAACATTTTCTGCAAAATTCTGTATTACTGCTGAAATTTTACCATAGTTTCTTCCATTGCTGGTGGATTCCACAAGCTAATATTTTAAAACAAATTTTAAGGAAAAAAATATCATGGTGTATAAAAACCATTGGAATTTAGACAACAACAAAATAAAACACTCATGAAAATGGCACTGTTGCTTGATTGAAATGATTGTTATGAGCATGGTTGCCAGAGTTTGGTTTCTGAAAGTCTAGTAGTTCTAAGATGGTTGCGATAGTTCGTAAGTACCAGAGGCACGTGTGCCATAAATGTGATTTTTCTTGTGTCTAACTGAAATTCCTGCATGTCACTTTAAAGAGTCGCATCATAGCCAATGACAATTCATTAATTGATGTTCTTTTGTTGTAAGCCAGGATCACATGTTCAGCCCTTGAGTGGCTGTGGAGGGTCAACAATTTTCTGTCTGACCAAACAGTAAAAGTAGTCCCAATGTTACCTGTTTATGTGTCAGCTTATTATACTTAAACTAATGATGTAAATCCGGAAAGTTCTAAGGTCATAAAAATCCCAACAATTTCGGATCTCAGACTGTATTGTATGATTGATATTTCTAATTGTGCTAAATATGTTGCATCCCTGTTTTATTGTGAAAATAAGATAGCCCATAAGATGGCAGAAAGATTCCACTAAATTGTAAAAGATTAGATGTTCCTTCCATGTGTTCTTGTAGTGTAGGAGTCTCTCATTCATCTAGCTACTGAAAGGTCTCAGGTTCAGTTTTTGCTGAGGACAAGGAATATTTCAAGATTCTTACCTCCAAGAAAACTTCATGACTCTATGTTGCATTCAAACAATAATATGTTGCATAACAGCACTTCCCAACCTTGATTAGGCTTACTAGGTCTTTACCCCCCAGTCATTTTTTAAGTGGGATTAGTGTGTAAAGAAATAAAGTTATTTCAGCTGTGTCTCATAATAATATAATAGTCAGCATATCCTTTGAGCATTTCAAAGGTCTTGTGTTTGATTTCTACTGAAGGCATGGTTGATTTTTCAAGGTCTTGCTTGCAGAAAATTAATTTTTAAAAAATCTAATATCTACAAAGTAATGAGTTTTAAATGTCTTTTAGCATATATCTGGTAGAACGAATGTAGCATATATCCGGTTGTAATGGTCTTGTTGTTTTCCGCCAAAAAACATTTCTTAATAAAGTTAGGAATAATAATAATAATAATAATAATAATAATAATAATAATAAAACATGCAAAGCAGTACCTTTAGTAGGGGTAGTAATCATGACCAAATCTATTGTTTTGTGACAAAGTTTTGGTAATTTTTCAAAGCCCCTGAAACTTGATAGCAGCGAGTCCAAAAACATATAAACCTCATTTCGAACGTCCTGTGCAGAATGGAAGATACCACTGGCAAGATGTAGCTGCAGATGTGTAAAAAGGTAGTAGAAGTCCGAAGGGAGCAGTGTCAGAGCTATATTTTGTGTGTGGCAAAAGTTCCCACCCCAAGTCCGTACAGAGTCCAGCCACTGAATGCAGACACATATAGTCTTGTGTTATTTTGATAGAACATTACCTTTCTGCGCCAGAACTCAATTCGGCAATTTCCCTCAATAGCAGCATCAAGATGGGCTAGTATCTCGCTGTACACCTTACTGTCGAAGGTTTTACCTTTTTCCAGGTACTCTTTGTGGATAATTCCATGGCAATCCCACCAGATACAAAGCATGATCTTTTTTTACTCTTTATGGGTAATGCCATGACAATCCCACCAGATATAAGGCATGATCTTTTTGTTAGTCAAATTACACTTTACAATGCTGCTGATGGGCTCACAAGGTGCAGACTAAGTCCCTTTTTGGCCTGTGTTGTTGAAGTAAATACTTTTCATTAAAAATGATCCAGAATTTTGTCTCTGTGTTGATATTCAAGCAGATTAGTGCAGGCCCGAACATGTCTGTCCTTATAATAACATGCCAAACAAGTATTAATTTAGAACTCAAACAACAAAAATCAGCGTAATATTTTCAAATTTTCACAGGACTAGTATCGATGGTTTTACCGAACCATCATCTTCAGCTGCAAAAGCTGCAAAACCGGTGTCGAAGTTCGAAGGTCATGTTATCACGAATTCATAAAATGAAATTTTAAAATTTTTTCATTTTTAAAGCAGGCTCCAAACCAGTGTGCCGCGGCACACTGTGTGCATGAGTAAGATATAGGGTGCCGCAATCAAAATACATGTATTTGACATTTTGCAATTTTTTATCATGTATTTAATACACAATGACAATTTTTTTTCGTTAATAATGTCTATTTTAAATGTTTTTATATATTTCACTGTTGGTTGGGTGATTGTAAGTGTGTCAGCATTTGAATTTTTTCAGCACTTCCTTGATAACTCGGAAACTCTGGTGTGCCACGAAATTCCAGAAAGATTTTTTGTGTGTCGCAGGTGAGGAAAAGGTTGCGGGAAGCACTGCTCTCCGGAAAAGAAATATCTTTGGCCGCAAGTAATTATCAGGATTAGTTATTTTGGGGGGGGGAACTACGAAAATCCGTTTTTAAATTATTGTGAACATCCAAGAAAAAAACGTTCTTTGATAAAGGTTTCTTCTTGGATTTTTCGCATCTTTAAAACTGGCTTTTCGGCTTTTTCTTTTTGTCACCGAAGTTCTCTTAAACGTGTTCTCAATTTCCCGTAACATCGCGGACAGGAAACTCTGGCCACCAGGTTTCCATCGCCAAATCCTTGGCATTTTTCCACTTTGCGCTAATGGTGAACCTTTTCTCTTACTAGACGTTCTTTGGTGAGAATATCTCCATGTATGGTACAGCGGGATTTGGCGGCACATGATGATGAGCAGTAAACGAGTCATTTTGTCTTGGCGACATTTCAAAATCGGCGAAGGCCGTACTTATACTAGGATTTACCGCAAAATCTTTTTTTTTTTTTCTTTTCTTTTTAATAAATATCTTGTCCTTTTGCAGTAAAAAAAAAAATAGGAATCAGTCATCAAGATAACCATTGTAACTATATTCGCTAAAATATCGTTTATATCATATTCATTTTAAGCAGTTATCTTTATTTTATGTTTTCATATCATTAATGTTGCTTCTTCCCTCTAAATTTATTTATCTTAGTAAATACTATTCAAAATTTCAAGAAATTTCTATGGCATAATCCTGAAATTAATTCTAGCAGTATGATGAATCACGAAATTAATGCAACATATTTTTCCTTGTGTTGCTGTGAAATTCATAAAATACCTCATTTAGTAAATTAAAATTCTTCTTTCTTTCATTTAGCGGCAGAATGTCTGCAAAAAAGCCGATTTTATTCCAGATTGGAAGATTCTAATCTATCTTCAGTGGAGAAAAAACTCCTCTATTATAATTATATTTGTGTTTCAAGTGTTAAGTGCCTTTTAAGAGACACCTCAACAAATTAAATACTAAAATCTAACCTAACTTTTAGCATTGCGTTTGTCGATTCTTAAGAAACGGCTTAGCCTCGTTGACTGGTCAGATCAGAGAATAATTAAAAAACGTAAAATTGTTATCCAATGTTCTATTAATTTTATAAGTTTTAAGTGGAAAAGTAAACAAAATTATCAAACAAAGTGTACAAGAATAATAAGAATAAAGTCTCTGAGATTTATGATAATTAGTGAATTTGCTACACAGTACAAGTAATACCATAAAATTTTACTCTCTAGCACACCAACGTACACGCGGATAGACTGAATTTTTCGAAACTACTGGAAAAAACTGGAAAAGTCAGGGAATTTCATTCTCCTGTTTGAGTGGCAAACAAAAATAGATGCTATTAGCATCTATTTTTTCAGTGGTTGCTTTTGTAAATTGCACTCATTTATGAAAACTGTAAAAAGTCAAATGTGAGTTTTTTTGAAAGATGTACTTCATATATTTCTTTGCAAAGTATATTTTCATATGTTCCATATTTATTAAACTCTTTCTTAGCTGGAAGGCATCCAAGTGTTCAGTATATTTTAATAGTTAGCCAGCCCTTAAAATCTTCTTCACCTGTTTCATCTTCTGAACTTTAGACCAAATGAAAATGTTTGGCTGGGACAAACCTGCGTACAAGACAGTATTCTCTTTAATGACCCAGAAAACTGTATAGTAATGGTAACACTGTCTGTATTTGCTAAATTCAAATAGTTTCTGTGAATTAGTTCTCATATTTTGTTCAAGGAGCATTTGATTTATTCTGTAAACAAGGTAAATCTATCTTTATGTACTGGGTCAATGCTTTACGAGTAAGACTCATCGGCATTATATTTGTCAATAATCCTTCATGCCAGCTGAATTTGTTTATACACATTGTAGTGTATGCATCAAATGCGAACTAGGGTCATTCATATATATCAAAGGATTAATAAACAAAAGAATAATTTTTGTATTTTATTCTTAGGAAATAATGATTCTTATGTTACACTTTTTCCTCATCATTTTGAAAGCATGACTATTTTGAAAATTTCTAACTTATATGAAAACGTATGTCTTGGTGCAAAAAATCGTAATGTATTTAAGATTTTTTTTTATTATTAATTATCTTTTCTCTTGGATTAGAAGTAGTTGCATTTTTGTTGTTTTCTTTCCATATGGTTTTCTAAATATTAAATAATTCATGAAAGAGCTGATAAGGAATTTTTTTTTTTTTGCAGCTTTTGAGCCAAGAGTTTCAAAATTTTGATCGTAGGCAATATGGAATGGGTGTCATTGGAAAGTTTTTACAAAGAAGAATTAGACAAGATCGTATCACATCGAGTGTAAAGCAGCAACTGGACGACATAGATGATCATAGGTGAATAAATTTTATTCCATGGTTGTTTTTAGGGTTTTATTAATTTAAATGACTTAAATTCTCTTCTGAATATAATTACTATTGATTTCATTGTATAACACACATTTTAAGTTAAAAAAGGAAGATGGAAATGTACGGGTGCGCTTTATATGCTGGACATAAAAATAAGAGATTTAAAATAAGGAAAAGATGAGCATACAAAAATTAAATTTCTACATATATCTAAGAGCTGTTTATTTAAAAGAAAGGACGTATCTTATGAACTTAAAAGTTTTCTTTATAAGTTAATATAAAAAGTTCGCCATATTTGTCTTCCATTATTTCTTCAGACACATCATCAAATCCTGTTTCATCTTCATGATCATTGTTTCTCTGATCCATAAATAATCATCTTCCATCTAGATTGTTAGATATACTACATTTTTTAAAATGACTTTAGAATTATGTTGGATTTAATTTCATTCTGTGGTAGGTTTTTATTGAAAAGATTTTTATTGAAATTCTTCATTGCACAGGAATTGCCAAATTGCATAAGCCATATCGAATGTTTCATTAGGGAAAAAATTCAGCATTGCAAATGAGAAACAGCTGAATGCCAAAGGTAGAATCACTGAATGCATATTTACCATGATGTCATTACTTAGCTCCTTGTTAGCCTACCACATTTGATGTTTTGGTGTGTAATAACGGCTGATGATCTTCTAATCAAAAAGTACTGAAGTTTCTGTTTAGACCAACTACAGATTTTATTTAGATGGAACAAGATCTTTCAAAGAATGGGGTTTAGTTAGTAAAGTTTATGAGATTTTTGCTGTAATCTTCCATTTAGCAGAAATTATTTTCATTTTCAGTTACGGCAGTTTACAGGTGTTTACAGTGATAAAGGGAATTAAAAGTTTTGAGGTGTGGGTGAGGAAAAGATGTAGGAATCTTACAGAACTTTAAACATGATTATGCAGTCTTTTTTTTTTTTTTTTTTTTCCTGACCCAACTAGTAGTTGTTTTACTATGTTAACATGTCTCTGTTAATGAATTTTAAATGAGTGAGATTTTATTGCAATTAAAATTGTCTTGTTTTTGCAGGCCTTTCTTTACATACTGGGTCACAACAGTTCAGGTTTTAGTCACAGTGATATCACTTGCAGTGTATGGGTTTGGGCCATTCGGGATTAGGAAAACTCAGCGTTCTGGAGAGGTAAGCAATTTGTTGTAACACTTTTTGTTTTTGTTTTTGTAACAGATATTATTTTCTTAAATATTGATTTGAGACATTTACTTTAAGTTACGGAATTTATTAACGTAAAAAGATTTCATGGAAGCAGGTTTGACTTTGTGGGTGGGAGCTCTAAGTATAGATTATAAATTTAGGGCAAAAATTTTAATTATTAAAGTAGTCATTATACTTTAAAATGTTAAAACAAAAAGTTCACATTTTATGGCATTGGATGGGCAGTTGTAATAATCTGGTACTTTATGTGTAAAAGATAGCCTTATTGATGTAAAATTTACAGTAAAATATAATTCTTTGTCCTAAGAGTTATTAATAATTGCATATTCTTCATCAATAATAATTCATAATGTGTGTTTTATTATAACATCCTTTACTTCACCACCAAACTCTTAAGAGTTTGTATACAGAAATTGTTTCTTTTTCATGTGCAATATTAAATTTCTGATTTCAGGTCATGGTTACTAGTCTTCATTTGCAGCAAGTAGATTATTTTGAGCCGGATAACTTTTGGCTAGGTCCAAGAGCTGTAAGTAATTTTTATTGTGTCAGTCAGATAGGGTAAATATTGCATTTTGTTTTTATTATTTTTTGTATTAATTATGTTGGATAATACAGATTACATTTTTTAATTACTAAAAGTAATCCTTGAAATTATATTATTGCATTTAAAATTTTAAGTTTTAAAATGTCTTTAGACTACATGAAAAAAAAAGCATAAATTGTAGTTCTAGTTATTACAGTCAAAAGTCGTTAATTCGGACACCCATAATCCGGAATGATCTATAATCCGGACCTCAAAGCTACAAACTTTCTGCGCATGTGTCGCGTTGACGCATGCACATAAGCATTTACGCATGAATTGGAAGTTTATCTGTCAGCACTATCCTTATCTTAAGGGCAGATGTTTTTATTTTATTTGGCTTATAATTCCTTACTAAATGTAATATTTCATCTTGATGTACTCTGTCTTTGATATGATTTAAATCAACTTCCTCGTCATTATAAATATCACGAATACACATCAAATAGTTTTCTGGTTGCAATTTTCTAATTTCGAAATGCATTTCTAATTTAATGCATGCGTTGAAAGAAATGTTTAATAAAGTAAACAAATAAATATTAAGCTTTTTTTTTTTTTTTTTTTTTTTTTTTTTGGTTAAATTTTGGTACCTTTTAAATCATAAATTGCTCTTTATTTCATAAATTAAGGTTTCATATTTTTAATTTTATAATTTCTGCATGCCATCTTACCAGATGTAAACTGATGATCTATAATCCGGAAAAACCGATAATCTGGAATCGAAGTCCCGACGAGTCCGGATTAAAGACTTTTGACTGTATATTTCTAATGAGATTCAAGGAAATAAAATTAAATGAAGTGCAGCCAAAAATACGTATAGTTTAATAGACCATACAAGGAAGTCATGTGGTGTCCACATCAGATATTTTTATTAATTAATTTTTAATGAATTTGTTACTTTAGAGCTTTTAAAGTTGAAAATAATTCTTTTAATCTTTTCTAGGCTGATCTGGTGCACCTAGGGGCCAAATTTACTCCTTGTATGCGGAAAGATAAAAATATTTTTGATTCAATATTTAGGGATAGGGGGCGTGAAAGGGACACTGCTTGTTGTGTTCGCCATGACCAGTCTGGATGTGTACAGACATCGCGGGATAAATGCTCGGTAGGCCCTAATTAATTTCATTCCTTAATCTTTATCTGAAATTGTTGAAAGTTGGTAGAAATGTGATCATTAAACTGTTCTGCGGGTAATAAATTAGTATTTTTATAAGCGTAAGGGTTTGTAATTGATTGAATGCAGACAGAACTGATGATGGCTTGATGAAAATTTTATATTTTGAAAAATAATTTACAGTTCTGGAATGTTACACAGAGAAGTACTCATACAGCTCTTCTCAATATGACAGCACAATCAGAAATTATAACTTCAAACTACTAAGAATGTTGACTGCAAGCCAGTTTAAAATGAATCCAAAAGCAAAGCTTGCACCTTGATCTGTCTATTCTCTGAACTCAACTAAACTGATACAATGACTAGTCTGAATGTGTACAAACATTGCGAACTCTCTGCTCTTATAAGTTTCTCCCCGTTTGCCACGGTAGTTTCAGCTTCTCAAACTAAGTGAAAGACATATGCATTTAAAGTTACATTGGAGTTAGTTACAGTTCTTGTTACACAGGAACCAGACCAATTATAGATACACAGGTATCAAACCACCTTGGTAACTTTTGCTCATTTCTCACCAAATATGGCAACAAAAATTAATCTCCAAAAACATTGCTAGCTTTTTACAGCCAAATTTACCTCAACTTTAAATGGACTTGCACCTATAACTGTATTTTTTTTGCAATGCTTTGCATTCTGAAGCCTTTAATGTTACATTATTCAAGAAGTATTACAATTTACATATAATTTCAATTAATGATTTACATATATATAAAATTCTTAACATTGCTACCTTCCCAAGGACTGAATATAATGGACAGTACAATCCATGAACAGAAAGCCATATTTATGACTAAGGAAAATCAATAACTGAATACTAAATGCAATACTAAAACAGATAAAGGTACTTAAAAATACTTTTTTTTTTTTTTTTTTTTTTTTAATATTTAATCCATATCAGTTCTAAACTTCAGCCAAAATCAGTAAAAGTTTCTTAATTTTCCTCATCTGACATTTCTGTCTTTTTTTTTTTTTTTTTCCGACTTCTGCTTTAAATGTGAATTAACATTTTGGAGGAATATTTTTTAGCAATGCATTAACAAAAATGCATTTAATGGGTTAACATTTGCATTTAACATTGCATTTAATGGGTTAACATTTGCATTTAATAGGTTAACACTGTTTTGATTGAAACATAAACATTTCAAAATTATTTCTTTATTGTGAATGAAGAGTTAACAAAATATTACATGAAGGAATTTTTTTTGAAATACAAGTTCTTTTATGCTAATGTTGGCAAATAATACAACACTATAAAGGAATTGTCAGAAATGAATGAAATCTGTTCCATATATTACTGCTAATGGTACAAATAAGCGATAAAATTTAAGACCCCTCCCAAAAAAAGGAACATCGTAAATCAGTACTTCGCGTGCCCACCACGCTGAGCGATGCGAGCCTGTATGTCGTGGCATTGAATCATATAGGTTCTGAATGTAATCGTGGTGAATGGCATTCCATATAGCTTCAATTTGATGCTAGTGTTCAGTCTTAGTGTGTGCCTCACCAGCTGGATGAGCGAGTCGCTGATCGATGAAATCCTAGACATGCACAGTGGGTGGCATATCTGAGGAATGAACAGGCCATGGAAGAAGTGAAATCTGGTGTGTTCTAAAGAAGCCTTGTACAGTCTGAGAAACATGTGCATGGGCATTATCCTGCTGAAATACAGTGTCCAGAATGTATCAAAGAATGGGAAGGACCTCTGGCTCCATAGCTTCGCTTATATAGTGATTACTGAAGAGGTTGCCCACAATCTGCACAAGATGGGATCGATAATTATACCCGATAGCTCTCCATGCCATGATGCCAGGCTTTTGTGTGGTATGAAGCTGGATAACACACTTTTTGTAGCAGACGTTCCCCTCTGTAATGTCTGACATTTACCCTTCTGTCACTGTACTCCAGATTGTAGCGAGATTCATCAGAGAAAACAGATTGCTGCCACAGGGCACACCATGCACTGTGTCACCATGCCAGTTGAAGTCGGAGGCATTTGTGATTCAGCGACAGAGGAAACCTACATAGGGGCACCTTTGCACGTTCATGCTGCAGCAGATGGCAATGAATCAAAGAGCTAGACAATACAATTTTTGAAGCCATCCTCCAACGTTGTGCTAACATACAAGAGGTCACTGTATGATCTGTGACAGCCATGTAAATGAGGTGTCTGTTGTCTCATGCCATTGTGCTGTTGCATGCCATGCTGCCAGAATTTCACTTGTTTGGTTCTCCTCTGTCCATATTTTCCAAACATGCTTCACTGTTATTGCATTACACTGTATGCAAGCTGCTATTGCTCTATAATAAGGTTTCTTAAACTGTGAGGGATCGTGAAACCTGCAGCAGGGGGTCACTAAAAATTTTAGCAGTTTTGATATTTCTTATTATAATAATTTTACAATTACCAAATATTTTGCAACAATATATCTGAAAATAGATAAAGATAAGACAATAAAGACAGAGAAAAAAAAAAGAAAAAAACGTTTTGATGCGTTCTTTTTATAATATAAACATTCATTTCCTTGCTTTGCAGGTGATGCTGTCATTTCGTCTGTTACTTATTTAAAATTTTCACATTATTCTATGTCTTAAAATTAGAAATTAAAGTTAATGGCCTAAAACTGCTATAGTATATTACAGTACAAGTGAAAAAATTCACAGTTTCACTCACGCTTGTGTCGGATTTGTACAATACTTATGGAGTCCACAAAATTTTTATAAACATTATGGGGTCGAAAAAAAGTCTCGGTGATAAAAAGGGGTTGTGACTGAAAAAAGGTTAAGAAACCCTGCTCTATTCAAAAGTGATTGGTGAGGCCCCCCCCTCTGCTGTTGACGAGGCATATTGACCACTAATTAATCATTCAGCACAGCCAGAGGATGATAAAAAGATTTCAGTGTAATTTTACAGTCCTTTATATACATGGAACAAGTGGTCGTTTCTTATTGTACACATCCACAATTGTTTTGTAATTCTATTCATTTGCATGCCTTACATGACTTTACATTTCCAGTAAGTTTGGTTCAATTTGCATGATTCCTTCATGGTGTTGCAGTTTTCACAAATATTAGTGTATTATGGGGCACTGAATTTGGGAACATATTAACATTTTGGTGATTTCAAAATAAAAAATAAAATACAAAATTTTTCATTTCGAGGTTTGCAAATTTTGGAAAGATATTTTTTTCCCCAAACATGATAATATTGATAAATATCATAAAAGTAATGATATAGTAAAATTATATTTAAGAAATAGCTTTAAAATAAAACATTTTTATTTTCTTCCATCCTTACTTTAACCACTTGCGCTAAAAAGATGTGCCAAGCACGTCGAGATGCTTTTGTCTCAAACCGTGATTGATGTGAACACCACGTCGATAGGCATTTATCGCAAAAATGAAAATAATGTGGTGCACACGTCGCCTAACAACGAGATTGTTTATTTCTCGAGTTACAGCTCTTTATTGCACTCGCAGATGTGGAGCGGCATAAATGAGACACTTTACCGCTTGTTATATTGTAGCGCACGGCACCGCAACTGTAAAGTTTAGTTGTAGCGCAAGTGATATTACTTTCCATTTTTGTGATCCAATTTGATTTTGACGCTGAAAAATAAACAATATAATAAATGCTATATAAGGCACGCAGACACACCATACTAGTGGGAACATTGTTTATTGAAACAAATAAACTTTGGAAAGATGCTAAAAAGAAAACTGATGTAAATTAGCTAAAATGTCTGGATAATTTTTCAAATTAAAAAAAGGCATAACTATTTTATTGTTTATTGTTATTATAAAACAAATGTTTTGTAGCATTTGTTTTATAATAACAATAGCATTTAATATATTATACAGTAAAAAGTCGTTAATTCGGACACCCATAATCCGAAATGATCTTTAATCCGGACCTCAAAGCTACAAACTTTCTGCGCATGCGTCGCATTGACGCATGCACGTAAGACCTTTACGGCTGCGAATATGCTTGTGCGCGTGCGCAAAATACGTTTACGAGTGCACGTTTAATGTGTAACGGACGGTATATATTTTTTGCAGACTGTTAGAGCAATTTTATAAAAGTAAGCTTGAACTTTCGATTATGTCAAATAGAATTTCTGAAAGCATCTACAAAGCGAAAGTATGTTTCAAAGTTCATTAAACAAAAAGTGAAATTGCTGCAAAAAAATGGATAAAGGCATATCTTTTGTTTATCTAAACTTTAACATTTGTTTATCTTTAACGCTGCAGCGCGCAATGAATTGGAAGTTGATCGTCAGCACTATCTTTATCTTCAGGGCAGATGTTTTTATTTTATTTGGCTTATAATTCCTTACTAAATGTAGTATTTCATCTCAATGTACTCCGTCTTTGATATGATTTAAATCAAATTCTTCGTCATTATAATTCGCTTCCGATAGCGAAGAAAGTTACAGAGGTTATTGAAAACGAAAAAATTTCGATTGACAAATTAGTCGGTAGACACAGCAATTATAGGACTTGAACAGCGGAACTTTGTAACTGACCAAGAAATTGTGTCTGTTTATAGAATTAAAGAGAACGTATTATCACATAAAAAACGAAGCAACTTAAACAACTTACATTGAAAGAAATGTTTAATAAAGTAAACAACTAAATATTGAGCTTTTTTTTTTTTTTTTTTTTTTTTTTTTTTTTTTTTTTTTTTTTTTTGTAAATTTTGATACCCTTTAGATCATAATTGTTCTTTATTTCATAAACTACGGTTTCATATTTTTAATTTCTGCATGCCATCTTACAGATTTAAACTGATGATCTATAATCCGGAATCGCCGAAGTCCCGATGAGTACGGATTAAGGACTTTTGACTGTACTAATATCATTTTAAATTCAATATCATTAATTATAACTGCTGTAAAATGTTCTTAGTGCATTTTTAATGGATGTTTTTTAGAAATTTAAAAAAAAAAAAAAAAAAAATGTTATTTATTTCATGTAAATCTATTATGACAGAAATATGTAACTACATAATTTAATTGTTTGTAACTAATAGCTCACTCTTAAAAGCTATCTGTACAAGGTGAGTTGTTGCCTTTCTTTAATTGTTATTATGGATACAACACAAAAATGTCAAAATTAACATAGAACTTGATTCCTTCCAACTAATGAGACTTAACACTAAACAACCTGTCACCTCTGGTGCTTCAGGAGTATAGTTTATTGGAACTTTATATTAAATACTGTTATATTAACTGGTTTAAAACTCCAGCAAATATACAAGAAGCTGTGACACTAACTGGGTCAGACAGAGTGCAGCTAACTTTCAGCACTTTATACCAACCTTATCAACGTCAGGCATTCACATCTGTTCTGATCAGTGGTTGTCTGTCTCTAAGAAAGCAGCCATGCAGGCAGTTGATAAGCTGCTGTTATAGCAGCTTGAGCTATTTATTCATTAGATGGATTTAGCTCCTTTATCTTTTATTCCAAATAGGGCAATGTCCTCAGAGGCAAAATGCAGTTCATTATTTATAAAGTCCAAGGAAAAATTATATTTCTTTAAAGTTTTATCTGAGTGTGCAGGGGCATATGTGACATTACACGGCATATATGGCAGATATTACTATCTGCTACATATGCTGTGTGATTGTAAGTGGTACTTCCAAACGTAATATTAACATTTAACTTTTCACTGATCTTGACTTTTATCACCAGACACAGTCTGTAGAGTAAGCACGGCATGGCATCCAAATAAGTTTACCTTCCACTCATTAAGTCAGATCTTTTCGAGTTGTTTTCAAGCATTGGCTTTTTTTGTCAGTAATTATGTCGTAAGGAAACCATTTATATGTCACATGAAGAAGATTCCATTACTGCCGCTAGTCATTACAGAAATTTGAAGTTCTTTAAAATGGGTCTTCTCAATATCTGTCAACTTCCACCCTGCTACAGGAGTTACAACTCCTGTAATCCTATTTTTCCAAAGAAGCTTCACATTTTGAGGCCTTTCATGTTATATTTATTATGCAAGAGGTATTGCAAATTACATATAATTTCACGAAATCTGTTTACAAGTATGCAGAATTTGTAACAGTATGAAAGAATTCATTAATGTATCTATCTGTCTTAAGTTATGTAATATGGTGCTTAAATATTTTAAGACTATATGTCATTTTTTCACTTGTGAGGTGTATCTGAAATGCAGTTAATGTGTATGATTCATTGTTGGGTGCATGTGAAAAATTTCCTGGTCTTTTAACTATTCTATGCTATTCATTTATTAGTTCCTGTCTTTAAATTTTTATTACAATATTGGATCTCTGTTCATTTACATTTATTCTGCATTTATAAATTTGTTTTGATACTTGCCTCTTAGTTCTGAGCTTTATTATTACTGAGATAATGTTAAAATGTAAATGCAGTACTTTGGGAACTACTGATTTTAACCTTTTCTGTCCATTATATTCTCCACAAAATTAAACACATTTTGATTACATAAGAGATGTCCTGTTTAATATAGCATTTCAAGTCCTAATTTAATATCTATTATGATTTAGTCCCCCCCCCCATTTTCACTTTTTTAATGTTAAAAGTTGATTTCCTCTGAATGTAATTTTGATTACATTCATTTAACATATTAATTTTAAAAATCGTAAAATATTTTGAGCATTAAATATCTTGAAGTAAATATTTTTATTAATGAAACTTGAGTTTACTTCATTAATTCAACCAACTGTCACTGTTTAATTATTTGAAAGCAGACTTTTTTTTTTAAATATTACTTTTAATATTGCAAAAACATTTCATATTTACATTTAAAGATTTTTTAAGCAATTTATATTTTAATTTCAAACTATAGCTGTGATTTAGCAAAAATTCTTTTTGATGCTCTTTTTTTTTTATTATAAACTTTTGAATTTTATGATTTTATTTTTCTGGTACTACTTATTATTAACTGAAATGTGTCATTGCACTGTAGGCTCTTGCTAACTTGCTGGTAAATATCCCTGTTGTTGTTATAACCATGAGTAACAATACAAATATTAACAGCAAATAAATCATAGGCAATCATAAGTGTAATTGCTTTCTGATTTCCTTGTTTTATTATTAGGATTTGTTTTCACTTATGGGCATTATTCTTCTATAACAAATTTTTCTAAGGGAAACATAATTTTGTTCTATGTTAATTGGTGCATTTCTTATTCTTCAACAATACAGTGTAATTTGAGGGGGGATTTGTTGTTATTTTTGGCAAATCTTAGTGATATATAATTACAAAATTTGGTAATAATGTCCTAGAACTAGCAAACAGAATAAAATTAAAAAATCAGAAGAAGCTTTAGTTATACATAGATGGAACAACTTGACAAATATTTATTAGCAAGTTGTCATGAAAATTAATAGGTACTGTTACTAGCAGTTACTGACCACAGAAATGACAAGTATCAGTTAAGTATCTTTTCTTTTATCATAAGACATAGAAAAGGAATTTTAATATCATACAAGTATTAAATAGCATAATTTCTTAGAACGCAGTTAAATATGCAATAGGAAAACTTCTTTATTTTCAGTTATTGTATATTTAATCACAGAAATGTTTTGTATTTTGTCATCAATGTCAATTATTGGTGAAATTCTTGCAATACATAACTGTTGAATTAACTCCTATGTAATATGTTTTTTTATTTCCAATGGCAGATTATGAACAGTTTACAGCCAAAAAAAAAAAAAAATTAAGAACATAGAATACAGCAATACAATGGGAAAAAAAAAAAAAAAAAAAGCTGTAGCAGAGTCCATTAATCTAACATATGCATTAACAACATTAATCAAACATATAAATAACTTATGCTCTTGCCTCCCAGTAATGCTTGGTGAGAAAAGTCTTGTGCAGAGCAGGACAGTGGGGCAAATGTGCGGCATCCATCACCTTTCCAGAACTGCACAGAGTGCATATTGGAGAAGGAACAATTTTGAATCTATGAAGATGATATTGTAGGCAGTCATGTCCGGTGGCAAGGTGGAATTCAGCGACCGCTCTATGCCTTGGGCCATTACACAAATTTGGGATAGTATTCTTCCAAGACTTATGAGAAACACAATGATGGAGATCTTCCTGAGCAGGTACTTTGAAAGATCTTTTAATAAGATCCCTAACAGTATGGAAAGGCAAAGGACGAAAAATATTCTGCATGATTAAAGCACCCTTTTTTTGCCAAAAAGTCGGCTTTCTCGTTACCTGGAATCCCACAGTGGGCAGGAACCCACTGGAGGACTATAGTTTTCTCAATAAAAGCTAGGTTTTGTAGATGATGTCTACAATCCAATATGTCCTGTGATATGGGATTTTTATCTGAAACGATAGCCAACAGAGCAGCTCGGGAATCACTGAGTATAACAGCTCTTGTGAATTTTTCCAAGTGGCATGGTAGCTGGTACAGAGCTGTGCGAATCGCAGCAATTTGACCGTCAAATGCATAACCTCGGCTCACAGGGATGTAGAAAGAGAAAATTTCGGTTAAAACTCCATCTGCGTTAGGGCCATCAAACAGGAGGTATCCATCGGTAAAGATCCGAAGCCACTCTGGCTCAGGGTAAAAAATATTTAATACTTCGAAAGCAAGGGCTCTCAAAATAGAGGGATCCGTATTACATCTTGTTATTTTTTGACCCAGATCAAGATTAATCCAGAAAGATTTCTAATTTATTGGATTTTGTAGTGGAACAAGTAATTCTGGTTCATTCATTAAACCAAGTGAATTTTTTAACTGAAAAACTCTCTGTAGAAAGCCCACTTGGGTCTTTAGATTTCTAGTCAGATCTTGATTGACTTCATTCCAGAGTGAAAGACATCCAGGAACTCTAATGATATTTTCCCAGAGAATTAAGGGTTTATCACCAGTTAACATAAACATGGCATCAATCGGGGTGGTCTTCACAGCTCCAGAAACAATATGTAAGCACTGATTGTGGATTTTTTTCTAGAGTACATTTTCTACGGCCACAACAAGTGGTTCACAGCAGTAAGTCAGAAGGGGAGGGTAAACAAGTGATAAGTTTGGAGTAGGGTTTGTCTAGTGCAACCCCACCTTGCCCCATCAAGGCATTTAAGGGCACTGAGTGAGTCTCTTCGTAGCATGGTCGTACAAGTCCCCAACATGTGGCTTCCATGTTAATTTGCTGTCAAACGTCACACCCAAATATTTAAATTTATCACACAAGGGGAGTTGGATACCTTATACGTCAGCTGAAAGTCCAAAGATTGGTGCATGAGTGAGAAAGTCAGGCACTATGATTTATTTAAGTTCACGTCTGTATTAGTAGTATCACATAAAACTTCCAAAGCATTCAAGGCAGCAGAGAGTTTAGTCTTTATGTTTCACTGCATTTTCTTTTTTAGAAACTTTCCAGAAAACCAAATCATCAGCCTATTATATTCCTATGTAATTGTATGTTATTATATTCCTGTGTAATACTGATCAGTAAAAATAATTATATTTGTAGTACAGTCATGATTTCATATTTAACAATAATTTTTAATAAATTTTTATTATGCTACTGAAGTTGGCTCAAGGACTTCATTCAGGGGTAGGCATTTTTTTCACTTTTATTCTGCATGAGATTTTAATATGCAGATACATAGACTACTTATTTATGAACTTTTTTTGTTAATTTATGATGTAATCTTTTCATAGTTTCTGTTCTCTCTCTCCATATATATATATATATATATATATATATATATATATATATAGATATATATATATATATATATATATATATATATATATATACTATTACACACACACCTTCCTATCAGATTATAAGATTATGTGAAAATGTTCTCACAATCTGTGTACATTTGAATTAGATAGATTTTGTGCAGTGCATAAATGCCTTGGTCATAACTTATGCTGCTTAAATAATATCAATTAAAATGTACATTTCATTATTTATTAAAAAAGAACACTTTTCTGTAAGTATTGACTGATTTTTATTAAGTTTAATGATTAATTATGTAAGAAAATTGTTGACTTGAGTACTAGTCTAACCTAATTGTTAAGCTGTGTGATATGTTTTGCCAGTTATTTATTAGTTTTCTACTAAAATAATCAATACAGATTAATGTATCTGTTAGTATTACCATTGTTCGTACATTATTTCTTTTTTTAAATAAGCAATTATATTGCTTAAAAAAAACTAACTAGTAGAACTTATGATTTAATGTTGATTTATTCTGGTTTATTAAGATAAGATTTATTTAGATTTCAGGTTACATATATTAACTATATTAAATATTTAATTTCTAACTTCTAATACAAACATGAAAATAAAATTTTATTTGAAAGAAATTAACCTTTTGCGTACGGCGCTTGCGATTTCCATGGGAAATCCGTCTCCTAATACTGTTTGCGTGAAAATAGCCTGCATAAGTTTATTTCTCCTACTTTCAATACAGACCCTGCTTTCTCTCTGTGTAGGCTAAGAATATTGTAATATTCATATTTTACATTTTGTTTTGCACCTAGATGGCACTACAAGTTTATAACATTGTAAGGGAGTACTATTGTTTACATTTTTATATTTTTATTCCATGCACGCTAAAATTGCGTGAGCTGTATTGTATGTTTTTAAATAAATAATAAATAAAAAAACTATTAAAATTTCTATATTACTCTAATTTTGTTTATGAAGATTGAATAGTAATATATGAAGATATAGAATATGTATTTAAAAAAAAAAAAAAAAAAAAAACCCTTATTTCAGAATTAGAATATGTGTCCAAATCGCGTCGTATGCGGAGGGTTAATGTGTATGAACCAATTTATAATAATGCATTATTTGAATTATTTGAGTTTTTGTCACTTACAAATAAAGCTGTATTTAAATATATACATACTCAAAGAAGATACTTCTTATGTTGCATGATCTTTTAATTTTTAATTTTTGTATTTTGTGTAGTTAGTTATGATTGATATACATAGACTGATTACACATTTTTAGAATGATTTCAATACAAAATTAGTAAAAAAAGCAAAATCTTTTGAATAAAAATTTCAGTCAATAGCTTTTTTTTAAAAGAGAAATTTGTTTTGCACCTAGATGGCACTACATAGACTGATTACACATTTTTAGAATGATTTCAATACAAAATTAGGAAAAAAAGCAAAATCTTTTGAATAAAAATTTCTGTCAATAGCTTTTATTTAAAAGAGAAATTCGTTTTGCACCTAGATGGCACTACTACTACTGCTAATTTTAAATTTATTCTTCTTTCAAAATGTCGCATGTGAAATGGGCTATGGACTGAAGGATATATTTTTTGCTTCCCAAAGAGAGAAATAGTTGTATTCCATAATTCAAGATGCATGGTATTAAAATTTCTAAATGCAAAATAAGCAACATTATTAATTAGAAAGCAAGCAAAAAAAAGAAAAAAAAAATTCCTTTATTCTTATAAAAAGAAGAATGGTGGATTTCATATAAAAAGAAGACTTACAACAGATAACTGAAAGAGGTGCATACTGTTTCTCATATTTTTAAAGTTAAATCACTTTAGAAATATGTATAAATCTGGCCCTATCAATGTAAAGAAAGTCAGGAAGGTGTTTATGATTGTTGCAGGATTCTTGGGATGATGGGAAATTAAGAATAGTGGAGGAAAAGGGCTCAAACCAACTCAACATATTATCAAGAGAAAGCTGTACGTCCGATATTTACAAAAGAAATTCCATTTCATCATCACAGTGACTTTTAAGAGTAAAACTTCATCAAAGAAAACCAACAAGTCATGCTTTGAAAAGTACTACTACATTCTTTGAAAGAATGAAGACTGATAGATGTACTGCAGATACAGTTTGTAACAAATTCCTGTAAAGTCCCCTGATATTTTACGTATGGACTATGGTGCCTTTGTTCTCTTGAAAAAAGCCTACTGCAGTTGTTGGACTCTGGGAACTAATGGAAGAGGACTGTAAATAAGTACCCTTAAATTTTTTTTTAAAAAATCCCTTCTATCATAGAAATGATGATGCAGACTTATAGTCTAGAAAAAAAGGCTATTAGGTTGGACATTTAAAAAAAAGTACTCCTTATATTTTGAATGTTAATTAAATGGCTCCAAAATCATTCTAAAAATGTATATTGAGTTCTCAAATGTGTTCTGGTATTATTATGATAGGTGTAATTTTAAAACATTATTATGTGTATTGAATGCCCAAATATTATTTTTGTGCAGCAATTGATATCTTCATGGAAAAAGTGGGATACTATGAAGCCTGGACCTCCAAGGTGGACGTCTAATCCAAATTCAATAGCAAAAGATCGTTTAGGAACACATAGAAGGCTTTCAGGCTCTGTATGTGGTCAGGATCCAAGGTATGGTTTCCATTTGTAATCTTAACTTGGTTGGTCAGCTTTTTCCTAAGAGTAATAATCTTTTACTACCATTCACTTGTTTATTAAATTATTTATATTTTTTAGAATTCAAATTTGTTTAAGCAAAAGAATTTTTTGTTATTATTATTATTATTATTATTATTATGTGAAAAACTGAATTTGAGGTAAACTGTTTTTGATCACAACAGACACAATACGTATATGCCAGCATTAATATATTCTATTTTTCTTTTAAAATTTTCTCACTAGAGCTGATAATTATTTATATGATATTGATTTCATTTTTCACTATTCAAGAGTAATTTTAAATTATGTTTAATAAATTTATTTTCTTTTTACTTTCCATAGTTGGTGAAGGGAGTAATTATCCATTTTAATATTATTTATGTAAGGCCATTGAATTAGATGTATATGTGAAGAACAGCTTGTTGAGAGTAAAGAAAATAACCTTGTTTTTCTCTCAAGTGTTAAATAAATTAACTTAAGTTTAGTTATATGGAGAAAATAATAAATAATTTTTCTTCATATTGGAACTTTTGATTGGTAAATTTGGTCATCGTTTTCTTTGGCCTGTTTTGAACAATTTACAGCTGCTGTTCTAGCACATCAATGATTTATGGTTTTATTTGAGAACTTGTTGAAACATTTGACTAATAGGTGTTTAATTACTTAAATTTTGTTTCGAGTTGTATTTTTCTTTTTAAACCTCTTTTTTTTTTTTTTTTTCTTATTTAGTCTATGAATTTCAAGCTGTTGAATGTTTAAAAAGTCGGAGATATAGTTAGATGTCCATGCTTTTGTTTGTTTAATTTTTGTTATTTTCTTAAGTGTATTCAAATTTTTTGGAATTTAATTAATAGATTAATAGATGATTGAATTAATATGTTGTCATTTAATGCTCAGTATCAATTACTTAGAGTTTAACCACATTACAGTTTTGCCCATATGACATACAAAAATATACGAGATGTTTATAAACAACCCTTTTTTTACACAGTCTAATTTGCCTATAGGTTAAGAGCTCCTGAGTTCTAGTTTTATCCTATATTATTTACTTTGATTCACGTTTTCTGTTTCTGGATGGCATTACCAGACTGTAAGAACAAATTTTGCAGGATTGCCTCACAAAATTAAATTCATAGTGAAAAATCAGCATCTGTAAGAATATATATGACATACAGAAATCCTTTTGCCTGATTTGCATGTAGGTAATGGCATCTGAGTTCCAAAGTTTACTTTTTGATTATCCAGTGTTATTTATTTTAATTCAGATTTTCTGTTTTTGGATGGACAATTAATTCATTAATAATCTGTCATAACCAGACTGTAAGAACAAATTTGTAGGGGTTTTCTCTCCGTTTTACTATTGAATTCATAGTGAAAGACTTACTTTCTTGCAGTTGCATAATGTTGTATTTCCTAATTATTTCACTTAGTAAAGTTTTATTACAAATTAATAAACTTTTATGACTACTAAAGCATGTAAAATAACTTTTTAAGTTTATATTAATGTAATCTGCTTTTTTTTTTTTTTTTTTTAAATTTTCATTCATTTCTTGTCTTTAAAATATACCAAAGAATATCCTTCCTGTGCTCTTCCTGGTTTTAAAATAGACCATATTGAGATGGAATATTAAGTTCTAGTTCAAATTTCCAGATGTGTAATAAATATGAAATGTTAAGCTATGTAAAAGGGTTTATTAGTACTTGGATGTGCTAAAATGTATTATGTAAAGGCATTATGCATATCCGTTTTTGGATTAAATCTCATCATTTGGTGACTGTTTTACTTTAGTGAAAGTAGTTGACAAAAAAAAAAAAAAAAAAAAAAAAAAATAAAATAAAATAAAATAAAATAAAATAAAAATTAAAAAATAAATAAATAAATAAATAAAAAGTAAGTCCCAAATTAATTTAATATTTGAAAAAAAAAATGTTACTTAATGCGTAAAATACCCTGAATAAGTAATAGTGTGGCACATTTGAATTTGAAATTTTTTCTTATTTTTTATACTGTGGGTCATTTTCTAGGTATTAATTGCTGTTTATTGTCTTACTTTTGTAGGTATTGCCATGAGCCAGCATCTGTATTCCCATATGAGTGGCCTGATGACATCACAAAATGGCCGGTATGTGTGAAATACTTATTATTTAGTTTAAAATGTATAAAAGGATAGGAATAAAAAAATGTGGTTTGAATTATACCAAGTAGCAGTTCTTCCTATTTCTTAAAATGTGTTGTATGGCACATAGAGAAAATAAAGTTTTCTACTCAGAGCGCTGGTTTTAGGAAATATGCATCCATTTAATTCTTATTTGTCAAATCTGATCAGTATTGAAGATCATGATGAATTTCTGTTGATTTTTGTTCTGTAGAATTTGAATGGATTTTGTAGCATAGGCTGTGTTAATATTGGAAGAATTGTTGTATGATATTGTGCTAATACAGAAAATGTTTGAAACTAAATATCTGTTGAAGATTGCTTATAGACTTATGGCTGTCTTATAAGAAATATTTCAAATAAAATAGGCTTTCAGACTACCAAAACGTTAATCATATGACTGATAGTACTAAATAAACTTTTCGTTATCCTACTGAAAATCTTTTTTCAGTCTGTTAAATCTAAAAAAATCTGGTCTGTTATATCTAAAACAGAGCTTGAAATATAATCTCGAAATTGTGATTAAAATTACTTTCACTTAAAGAAAAGATAGCCTGATTATGTGGTGTATAAAATTAAATTTGTAATTTTAGTATTTGTGTAAATGATAATTTAATACTCATAAATATATATTTTTCATATGTAATAGTCAAATAAGGTAATTTTTTGAAATTTTCATTTGAAAACATAACATGGATTTGTCACCTTTAACCATACTATTCTCCAAAAATTTTAATTGATATCTTGGGTAATTTCCTGCATTAGGATGTTTTTTTTAATATATTTTTATGTTATTATGTGATTAAATTGCCAATATAAAGACTGCCTTATATCATTCGTTCATTAAACTTAAACAATGCATTTATAACTATCCATTCAGAAAGTATTTAGAAGTGCAATTCTTTAAAAATATTCCTGTATAATTTAAAACCCAAATGAAATTAAAATTGCTAGTACTTGCTGAGCTATCTAGCCTTTCAAAGGACAGTATACTTTTTTAATGTCATGGAGGTTGCTGAGAGAAATGAAATGTTTGTAAACAAAACCATATTTTCAAATGAAAAACTTGAGAGCTTAAGCCATCTTCTTATTATGATAACCTTAAATTTATTAAACATTTTTGCTGTTAAAAGTTAAAGCTGAAAATATTTTCTAATTTCTACATATTTCAATAATTAAGCTTATATGTTATATAACAGGGTTGCCACGCTACCAGGAAAACCGTAAAAAGTCAGGGAACTTGAAAATTGATAAAAAAAAATTCAGGGAAAAGTCAGAAAATTTAAATATTTTAGTCAAAATCTGGAAAAGTCAGGGAATTTTATACTCATATCCCCCCCCAAAAAAAACGAGTTTTGCGCCGACTATGGAACCGATCACTTTCTAGGCGAATTATGTATCGTATGAGCATCATTCGGCCAGTTGCCATAGAGCCAGTTTTCGCTGCTCCAATCAGATTGTCTTGAGAGAAAGGCAAAAGCAAGTTTCAGTAACCTCGAGTATCAAGAGACTCCCATGCGTAATGCAGTGCATGTTGAACTAAGGAAAATACGTAAATCAATTTAATCCCAGTATAGGACATCATGGAGGTTAGAATAGCCTCCATGTACCATATACATGGTATTTGGGGATATTATGATGAGCAGTAAACAGGTAATTTTGGTGTTGGCGACAATTTTTAAAATCGTGCCAAGGTCTTAGCGTATACTAGGATTTTATCTAATCTTTTTAACCCTCCCCTTTTTTTTTAAATAAATGCCTTATTTGTTATTTTGCAGTAAAATAAAAAAATAGTAAACAGTCACCTAGGCTAACCTTTTAATGTAACTATATTCGCCAAAATATCGTTGATTATTGTAATTCAATTTTTTAATAATTATCTTTATTTTAATGTTATTTATGTCATTTAATGTTGCTTCTTCTCTCTAAATTTATTTATTATTTATTAGTAAATGATACTTTTAAATTTCAGGAAATTTTCTCTGCATAATCCTGAAATTAATTCTAGCAGTATGATGACATACCATCACAGAATTTAATGCATATATGTTTTGCTTATGCATGTTACTAAATAAATATAAAATACTTGAATTTATTTAAAAATATCATTAAATAGATTTTTCTTTCGTTTAGCTGCAAAATGTCTGCAAAACAAAGACATTTTTTAATCCAGATTGTGCAGATTCTAATCTGAATCTTCAGTGGGGGACAACAACTCCTACTATAGTTATAATAGTAATGCTTTGGGGATTATAAGTCATATGTAATATGTATAAGTCATATGTAATTGGCAAATTTTTGTGTTTTCAAGTGGTACCATAATTAATTTACTTCTTAGCACAGCCAATGTGCATTACGCAGACAGACTATAATTTTCTTAAACACACCTGGAAAACCTGGAAAAGTCAGGGAAATTTCATTTTCCTATTTGAGTGGCAACCCTGTACAAGGAGAAAAATAGGTATTTAACATACTTCAACTTGTTTAGATGGATTGTAACATATTTGTTGTAAAAAATTCAAATTATTTTGTTGATATGAGGTAATTAACAAAAAGAAAAAGTACATTTTGCCTTATTTTGGTGTTGATTCATTAAAAGTAAAATCATTTTGAACTTTCTAAAAAATTTAAAAATAAGGTAAGTGTTATATTTGAATCATACCCTAAAATGGCGAAATATACATAACTTTATTATATGTCGAATTTATTTTACCAAAGGAATTTTCATCTTGATTTGGAATGAATAAATATTAGAATGTTGCATTATTGTTGAAATATGATCTTATGATGTGATCACTTGATTTACTACAACATAAACAAGTGGCAATATAGTGATATAACACCTATGCACAAATTGTAGAAATTAATTATGTGAATAAAGAATTAATATTAAAACACTTAAAGTAATTGGTAGAGTATTTTTATTTATTTGTTCTTAGAATATTTTCAGTCAAAATGTATGCTTTGGGATTAAAGTATGACCATACATGCTGCATGTTATAAAATGCAGGTTTATCACTTTTAAAATCTAATAACTGAAAGATTGAGTAACAAAATCAAAAATGAAGTCTTATTTTTTAAGCTTAATGGATCAATATAAATCAAGGAAAGTTTGTAAAAAGTAAAAATTTTAAAATTTGTTAAGAAAATTAAAAATTCATAGATTATTAATTCTATTTCAATACATGTAAATATTAACTTAGAGGAAATAAATGAAGTGATAAAACTAGCTATTATTAACAAAATTTGAACATTTAAGAATTTATCTTTCTTTCTTTATTTGCAGCATTTTTTCTGAACTTTTTTGTGTAGTCATTCAGGTACTTTGAGTTGTGACGTATTGTAACCTATATGTATATAGATATCATCATGATATGAAACAAAGAATGTAAGATGAGATTTCCTGAAAAATCAGTGTAATAAGTAATTACAGTCAAAAGTCGTTAATTCGGACACCCATAATTCGGAATGATCTATAATCCGGACCTCAAAACTAAAAACTTTCTGCGCATGCGCCGCGTTGACACATGTGCATAGGCGTTTACGCGTGCGCGTGATCTTTTACGACTGCGCGTATGAGTGTGCGCAAGTGCAGAATACGTTTTCGCGTGCGCGTTTTATGTGTAATGGACGTATAAGCTAAAATTATCTAATTATCTATTTCAGTTAATGTTAATGATTGCGATATTCCTTAATTATTATTTTTTCCTTATTATTTTTTGCAGACTGTAAGAGCAATTCTATAAAAGTAAGCTTAAACTTTCAATTACATCAAATAGAATTTCCGATATATATTTGTTAATATGTAAAGGATCTAAAGCGAAAGTATGTTTTGAAATCCGAAATCTGTTTATCAATTTCACGCTGCTCGGCGGGGGGAACGCTGCGGCAAGCTCATAATGAATTGGAAGTTGATCTGTCAGCACTATCCTTATCTTCAGCGCAGATGTTTTTATTTTATTTGGCTTATAATTCCTTACCAAATGTAGTATTTCATCTCGATATGCTCCGTCTTTGATATGATTTAAAACAAGTTCCTCGTCATTATAATTCGCTTCCAATAGCGAAGAAAAGTGACAGAGGTTATTGAAAACGAAAAAATTTCGATTGACAAATTAGTCGGTGTTCTTGACACAGCAATTATAGGACTTGAACAGCGGAACTTTGTAACTGAACAAGAAATTATGTCTGTTTAATAGAATTAAAGAGAAAAGTATTATCACATGAAACGAAGCAAAACTTAAACAACTTACATTGAAAGAAATGTTTAATAAAGTAAAACAAATAAATATTAAGCTTTTTCTTTTTGCAAATTTTGATACCCTTTAGATCATAATTGTTCTTTATTTCATAAATTACGGTTTCATATTTTTAATTTTAGAATTTCTGCATGCCATCTAACGAGATTTAAACTGATGATCTATAATCCGGAAAAATCGATAATCCGGAATCGCCGAAGTCCCGACGAGTCCGGATTAACGACTTTTGACTGTAATAGTAAATGCATATCTATAACTATCAATAATTAATTGGTAATTAGAAATTAATTTGTAATTTATGGTAAGGATACATAATTGATACTTCAAAATCTTTTGCAGCATGCACTTTCAGAACTACTGATTTTCATCATACGTTTGATCTTTTTTAGTATTGCTTGTGTCCACTACGCAGATTTTGGCTTGTTAAATTAAATGCATCATTAAATAAACATAAACATTAAATTTTGTAATAATTTAATTGCAATCCATTTTTTTACTTCCTTGTACAAAGTGAAAAGGAAGTAGTGTAATCGCGAAAAGTTTCAGGCAGCATATTTCAACGAAAATATCCATTTTGACCGCTATCGAATGCAATTTAACGATGTTTTGCGTTCTATCTGTACGTAAGGAATGAATAAAAGACTCGTTTCCTCAAAAAAATTATAAAAGTACTTTAAAATGAATTCTGAAGAGAATTTTTCGTGGTGTCTGTACGAACGTATCTCGCATAACTGAAAAACGAGTAGCCTCAGAACGTTGAAATTTTGTATATAGGACTACTATAACATGTAGATGTGCACCTCGTATTTTGGTTGCAATCGGCCGCACCAAACGTATATAAATATATTTATATATATATCCACTCTGTTACCCGGCTCAGTGATCTCAGTTTCTTTACTCTTATATGTTTGTAAATTGTACATTTTTTGCTTTAAAAATGATTGAATTATGTTTTTTTATCTTACGGTTAAGGTTTTTATGCCTTTAGTAAATCTGTATGCAATATTTTTAGAATTATCGACAATTTTAAAGTTGTTTAAGTGCCGCTAAGCCTTTTTTTTATGGCGGCCATTGATTGTTTACATCTCAAACAGCACACTAGTGGATTTGTTGCCAATCCGGAGAAAATTAGCTTTGCAACAACAAAGATAACACCTTCAATTATTATTGCCAATTAAATCTTGCTTAATCCAATCCTTTCTCGAATTTTTTCGAGGAAATTAGTGTTTAAGATTTATTTCATAATTTTTAATATAGATATTTTGAGTTTTTATGTATTTTTGCCTTCTCGCAAAGTGAGAACTGAATTAATTGAATGAGAATACTCAGTCGTCTGTGAAAAACAGTTTCCTTTTTTGTTTTGTTTGCTTAATTTCTTTTATACATCGTTCTAGCTTTATTATAGTATTTGAATAGAACATGTGGCAACGATTAGATAATTCTATCTTTTTAAATGATATAAATTTTGTGCATTCTGAGTTATAATATAAACGAAATATAATACTGTTAAGTGAATCTAGCACCAGAGTGTCGCTATGGTAAACAAATATTAGAGTGAATTTTAAAGAATGCATTTATTCTATTGGGGGTTTATGCGCTGTCGGCGAAGTAGATTTAATTCAATCCAATAAGTTTAAATTAAGAAAAAATGCATATAATTTAATATTTCGTACAAGAAAGTCATATGGTGTACACATCAGATTTTTTTAAATCACTTATCTACAGCATACTTTTTTTTTTATTAATTTCATTATGGTTATTTTTTTTTTTTTAATATTGTGTTCACTTTGTTTTTGGCTTCTAGAATTGAGTGCATACTTGTAAGCATTAAAACTTGAAATAATTTATTAATCTTAAAATTATATTTCTATAAATATATTTTTTTAAGTGTGTTTTATCTTTTTAGGTATGCAAGGCTGTGGTCCCAGGGCATCAAGTTGCTGAACCTCATATGTCTTGTGAAATAGTAGGTAGGCCTTGCTGCATTGGAATTTATGGCGAGTGCCATATTACCACTAAAGAGTACTGTGATTTTGTAAAGGGATTTTTTCATGATGAGGCTGCTCTGTGTTCACAGGTATTTAGCATCTCCACATTATGTCATATTTTATGCTGGTTAAACTGAGAATTTATTTTTGAATATATATTTTGCAGGTTTCCTGCCTTGATGATGTTTGTGGGATGATCCCTTTTCACAATCCTGAGGTGCCTGACCAATTCTACAGACTCTGGACTTCCCTTTTCCTACATGCAGGGTAAATAATATTTATATCTGTGGTTTTATTTATATATTTTTATTCATGAAATATAGAAAACTTCAAATGTATTAAAATGAATGAAAATTCTTTGAATTATCTCCTCTAGACTGATTTATAATATAATAGAACACTTTTAAGTCTTGGAATTTTTCATATATGATAGAATACTTTCTATAATTTTAAGATTCTTACCAATGGTTAAATGGTTAAGAATGCTGAGCCTTGGTAGTTCGGTAATATCTGACTCAAATCCTAGAAAGAGCCCACCAGCGGCCGAGCAGTAAAGTCACTGAACACCGGTAGTTCGGTCTGAGGTTCGAATCCCACGAACGGGCTGGCTGCATGGGCGTTTTCGTGGTTTTCCCCATGTGTAACGTGTATACGAGGCAGTTTCCCGTAGAAAGTCCTCCAATAAGGCATCCCTGCCCTTAGACAGATAGCCCTAATGTGCTTTGCCATAATTAAATAAACCAAATCCTAGAAAGGCTCCATTCAGACCAAGATATAAATGTCATAGCTGCTTGAAGTCAAGCCTTACTGCTAGGCAACCAGACCTTGCTGAATCACAAAAACTGGTTTAGGACCTTTGGTATAAAGTTTGAAGCTTCCAACTTTATGTTGATTACATATAAGAGCCGACTAATCGAAGCAATCGCGTGAAACCTGGACAGAAAAACAGAGTAGGAAAGCTGTAGATTCATCCATGTATGCACAAATTTAGCTTCTGTAATTGGTTACAGCTTATACCCTGTCTCGCAGGTGTGAATGAAACTCCCACATTTTATGCCTTATGATTAAGCTTCTATGACATTTATGATCATCGTCTAAACAGAACTAAGCAGGCTGGCTATTATTATGGTTTTCTTATATGTAATGTAAATAGAAACTAGTTTGGCTTAGAAAGTCCTCCACTATGCCATCGTTCTCTTAGGCAGACAACCCTGGCATAAATTTACCTTTAAATTAATTAATCAGCCAACTGATTTTAAAGCAGTTTTAATGATTTACAAATATCACTTTATGTAAAAATTATTGCTAAAATTTAGATTTGTAAGTATTTTCATCTGGAAGAGGATCAGTTTTTTTGCTACAGTCAAAAGTCGTTAATCTGGACTCGTTGGGACTTCGGCGATTCCGGATTATAGATCATCAGTTTAAGTCTGGTACGATGGCATGCAGAAATTATAAAATTAAAAATATGAAACCGTAATTTATGAAATAAAGAACAATTATAATCTAAAGGGTATCGAAATTTACAAAAAAAAAAAAAAAAAAAGCTTAATATTTATTTGTTTACTTTATTAAACATTTCTTTCAATGTTGTTTTGCAGCAATTCCCACTTTTTGTTTGATGGACATCGAAACATACTTTCACTTTGTAGATCCTTTGGGAGCTCCAGCATCGGAAATTCTATTTGACATAATCGGAAGTTCAAGCTTACTTTTATAAAATTGCTCTAACAGTCTGCAAAAATAATAAGCTGGATCCAATTCGAAGATTAAGGAACAACACAATCTGCAACATTAACTGAAATAGATAATTAGATAATTTTAGCTTATACCATCTGTTATACATTAAACGTGCATGCATAAATGTATTATGCGCATGCACACATGCATATGTGCAGCCGTAAAGGTCGGACGCGCATGCGTAAACGCCTATGCACATGCGTCATCGCGATGCATGCACAGAAAGTTTGTAGCTTTGAGGTCCGGATTATAGATCATTCCGGATTATGGGTATCCTAATTAACGACTTTTGACTGTACTATTATTTTATCTTTATAAGAGGAAATAATTGCAAACTTGTATTATTTTTCAAAACTACAAAAAATTAATGAGTAATTGTGTAATGAATTCTTCTCTGAATTCTGAAGTCATAGTTGAAATTCCAGAAACTGCATTATTAAGTTTGCTTCATAATCTATGTGTTCTAAAATATTCTAAATTCAAGAACTTTTGCACTAATTTTGATCATAAATCTGGGTTTTAAAACTACTTTTTATTAATTAATTTTTTATACCTTATTTCCTTGTTAATAACTTACTTTTTAATTTTGATGCCATTAAAGGGAAACTGTCTTTGATGCTAAAAGAAAATTTTAAAAATGTTTAACAAATATTTTTATTGTGAGAAAATTTGATTTTTTTAACAGCAGTACTTTTTTGTGGCAGATTTGTTGTTCTCAATTCCTATTGAATTAGTTTCACAATTATTCTTATATCAGTACCTTTATCTTAATATCAGAATCTGTATCACATTAAGCAAGTTGTCCTCTAAGCTATCACAGTGGTTATAAATTAAAAGTTTTTGTATCTGGAGTTCTTTGAAGCACGTTTTAATGTGTTTTAGATTAATAAAACTTGGAATAAAGGTTATTTGGGTCACAGGGAAGAAAAATATGAAGAAATAAATGTGGTTAAGAATTCAACATTGGATCATAGTATTAAATTAGTTATGATCACCATATTCTTATGTAACTAATCATTTTATTTTTCTAAAATTGCTTTATGTAGGTAATTTAAAAGTAATAGCCTTTAAATTTATCTTTAATTATTTAAACTATATTTTACACAGGAGACATTGAATAGATATGTTGCATCTGTATAAAAAAATAGTACTTCTTTCATATGGATGTGAACATTGTGATTTGATAATTTTAGTAGCAGTAGCTATCCAGAGCATTTTGTAGAATGAATGTTGAGTATATTTGTAAATGGTGTTACAGAATGTTGCAAATCATTTCTTTTAAATGTTACAAAAAATCAGTGACTAATAATACTAAATATTTTTATTTATTTTGTGCAATTTATTTTTTCTGATTATTGACATTTTTTTTTAGCATCCTACACCTGCTGATAACTGTGATAATTCAATACTTAATTATGACCGATCTAGAGAAATTGGTAGGGGCATTGAGAATTAGCATCATTTATTTAATGTCTGGAGTTGGAGGAAACCTAGCAAGTGCGATTTTTGTACCATATAGAGCTGAGGTTTGTAAAACTCTGTTAATAAATTTGCATTAAACATTTTCGTAGATTTAGAAATGTTCCCTTTCTCAATTTCTAGCTCTCTTTTTGTTTTGAACAAAAAAGAAGCAGGGTTTTGTTGAAGTTTTATCTGAACAATAGAAAAAAAAAAAAAAAAAAAAAAAATGTATTTTGAGTTCTTGTATTGTTTTGTATAAAAATACAAAACAATACAAGAATAGCAGAGAAAATAATGAAGTATCTTGTAATCTTACATATATCATGGGAAGTCTGATTTAAATTCCAAAATGTAATTTGTAATCTTTCCACTAATAGACTGATTTTTCTGAGATATGAAGTTTAATTAAGGCTTCCTATTTAAAAAAAAAAAAAAAGTTAGATATATGCACTATGTTCAGGATGTTTTGTGTATAATTATGCTAATTCCATTAAAACCAAAAATAATTGAAAAAAATCTGAAAGGATTTCAGATTTTAGTGTCACCTAAAATGGTTTGTTAAAGTTTTTTACGCTCTCGCTGAGTTTGCAGTCCCCCTTTTTTTAAGCTTTATTATTAAGTATCATTTTCTTCACTTGTATGCTATAATACAATTCAACAGCAAAGTTACAAAGATTTTAAATGCGACATAGCAGTATATACTTAGAATTTTCTGATGCAGGGTTAAGTTTTGGTATTATTTTTTTTTCCCCATGGTTCATCATATCAATATTCAGTTTCCTTACTAGGATGGCTTTACAAAACTTTTTTTGTCTTTTGATTATTAACATTTGTGTGTTTACTTTATTTATTAAATGTCAAGTTCTTGGCACTTATGACACATAAATTTCAATTTAACAGCAAAATCACAAAATATTTAAAACAGCATATCTTTAGAATTTCCAATAGACAGTATGGGGTGCTAGAAATAAAAATATATCATTCCATACAATATTATCACTGCTCGCTTTGTAATTGTTGAGGTGTTAATCAAAAATCCATTGAAGTTTTACAAAATATGAAACAAATTTGTAATTCAAAATTTGAGCTTAGAGATGCCTGTGTTTGGCTTGAGAAATTAACTGTGTTATACAAAATCTCGTGGCTCCAGATAACAAAACTGATGGCTTTTTTTTTTCCCCTCTCCCAGTGCAGGAAGCATGCATGCATTCATGCAGATTCTTCATTATTTAATTTCTTTAAATATAATACATGACAATAACATTTGGTGGCAGCAATTTGAAAAGTGTTGTGTAGTGATTCAACATAAAATACTGTTTTGAGACTAATATCCCATTCAGAACTACCTTTGCTTTTGGACTAATAAATTTGTTCCATATCATTTTAAAAATTTGTAAGTTGTATCTTTTGAAATTCTTGATATCCTGCTGCTTTTAATGAATTTTCCATCTTAGTAAGTATCCCAACTTCTTACCTTCTATCCTTGAACTCTTCGTGACAGGGTTTTACTATACAATGTGTATATACAGGGTGAATATGAACAAAAGGGCAAAATTTTAGGGGGTGGTAGAAGGCAACTTATAAGAGCAATATTCATCATACAATGTATGGTCAGAACTCAAATGGCGAGCCGCTAGGTGGCACTGTAAATAAATCGTAAAAAAAGAGTCAGTCCTCTCACCCAACGACATTTTCTACCGTGGATTGCCAAGAGGATTGCTAGTTATGCGAACCACAAAATTTCCAGGATGATGGTTTGCTCAAGGTGGTCCCATAGCTTAGCCACTCAGATCTCTCGTGTTTGGATTTCTTCTATGGAGCCATATGAAAGGCCTAATCTACAAGTGCCCCATTGAAACCAATATGGATCTAATTGCCAAAATTGCTATTATTGTTGCCAATATTTAGGAAATGCCTGTTGTCTTCGCTGATGTGCATCAATCCCTATCCCACAGGTGTGAAGCTTGCATTACAGCTGGCAGAAGGTCTTTTAAGCAACTTGAATGAGCCTCCTCTCATTCTTGTGTTAATTCTTTAAATGTGACAGTAAAAAGCTACCCTGTAACTTCTCACCGCTTGCATCCCGACCATACATTCTATGATGAATTTTGCTGGTATAGCTACCTTCCATCACCCCCTAAAGTTTTGCCGCCCTGTTCAGATTCACCCTGTAATTGTATTGACTAAGAAGAAGGAATTTTTTTTAAAAAATTCCTGTGGATTGTTTTGAAGTAAGTTTTTTTGCCTGGCTGTAGAAGAGAGTTTTTAGTATCATTTATCTAAGCTTTATCTGCTTTTTTTTTATGTAACCTTTTTTTCTTTCATTAAAAGTTGCATAAATTTTTAAATCAATTACATAATTTTACAAATACTTATATTACATTATTTGCTTAATAGCTGTGATATCACCCTATTCATGCCTTTATACTAATCTATTCCTAGAATTTTTTTACCTTTATTAAAAACTGATAACTATGAGATTGCATCATTTTTCTAAACAATGAAACTATGTATATATGTGTGTGCATCTTTTAAATTTTTTCAGGATATTTGTTTTATTAAGTGTATGTAAATAATAAATTTAATAATGATGGTATTACAAGTGCCAAAATAAATGACGGTATTTATTTTCCTGATCTAAAGTAATGCTAGATCTTAAATGAAAAAAAAAAAAAAAAAAAAATTCTATTGTCTTCTTCAGAGATGTCCTTCTGATTTTTTTTTTTTTTTTTTTAATGTATATTTTAGGTCGGACCTGCAGGCTCCCAGTTTGGTCTGTTAGCCTGTTTGTTTGTAGAGGTCATCCACTGCTGGAAAATGCTGAAACACCCAGGAATGGCCCTTCTTAGACTTGGTGGTGTTGCACTTGTTCTTTTTCTTGTTGGCCTTCTACCGTGGGTTGATAACTATGCTCATATATTTGGATTTGCATTTGGTTTTCTTTTATCTTACGCTTTGTTACCTTTTGTATCATTTGGAGCATATGACAAAGCAACAAAAGTTATATTAATATGGGTGTGTCTTTTTATTGTTGTTGTCCTATGTGTCGGTCTGCTTATTTTGTTTTATGTGCATCCTATTTATGAATGTTCATTCTGTAAATATCTTAACTGTATACCATTAACAGTGGACTTCTGTGAAAACCAAGATATTGTTTTCAAAAGACCAGAGTACTGACATCAGTGTTTTATGGTGAAAATATGTCTGAAGTATTGTTTTACTAGTCATTTAAAAATAATCAAGACTGTGACAAGATGTGCAATGCTGTTTTTTAAATTTACTCAAAGGCCAGTTGAAGTGCTCTCATGTTTTGTGATTTCTAAATTCGTGCATGCGAACTTGTCAGCTGCAAGCCTACTTCAACGGACAAGCATTTTTACTGCTGTGATGTAACCTTCATGAGGTGTTTAAAAGACAATTTTGTCAATTTATACTTAATTTTCGAGAATCACAATTGTAATATTTTATTAAAAATCTAGTAAAACCTGCTTGTGTGTTTTTCTTCCTCTGTGTCTATTTCTATATTTAAATGCACTAAAAGTAACAATTAAGAGATTTATCTGTTTATTACTTGAACATTGATTAATTTAAAAAGAAAACTTGTAAACTCATGTTGACCCCCCTCCTTTTTTTTAACCCAAAAATTTCTTAATATTGTAAGATAGGTATATATGTTTTAATTCTGGAGTGATAGTTAGTTTCTAAGTTAATTCAAATGCATGATAAAATATGTATTTGTTCTTTTTGTATACTCGCTTTCCTGTTTATCATCAAATTTTTACTTCTCATTTCATAAGACTTTAAAAAAAAACTTCTGAGAGTAGCTTAAAATTATTTTGATATTGTTGCGTGCGTACGGGTTCGTTATGAAATGAATGCACAAGTCCGAGGAAAAATGAACAAAAATTTATTATTATCACAACAAAAATTCTTAAATTTTCTCAAATTATCATGCAGTATTACAATATCTCACAGTAGTTATCTTTTAACTACTCAAATATCCAATAGAACGTAATTCAAAACAGCTAAAGAACGTTAATCCGCGAATTCGCTACAATCAACAAGAGCAGTTTTCTAAACAACAACAAATTAAGCAACTCCTACAAACTGAGATGTTTTCCTCCTTTTATAAGATTTCAAAATCACGCGCTAGAATTTTCCAGTACTTTCTCGAAATCAAAAGAGATATTTATTTATTTAATGCACGCGCTCTTGTATTTCAATTTTTCCGGCTTAGCTTTCTTTTTTAATATTCGTCACGCGCTGCACTGTGCGAGAAATAAAACCATTTAATTTATAATTGAACTAACATTAGCTTTTTAAATACCAAATTCGTAACACTGCCCCCTTCCCAAGGACTGCACGTCCGGGCAGTACAATCCCTGGACAGGAAGCTAAACTTACAACTGTGGCATAAATGCATTAATAAGCATTTCATTACAATAATAAACAACATGAACAAAATAAATGCAACTTACAAAAAATCAAATGCTATTAAGTGCTAAATCAAATCAAGTCAAATCAAAATACACATTTAAAAACAAAAAGGACCATGGTCTTATACTATTTAAAATTATTTACACTACATACTGTGGAATTACTTACACTACTATACTTTACACTACATACATATTATACATAAATTATTTACACTACTACTGGGCCAGGTGGTAGTAATGAGCTAACCTGTCGTAATGAAACGACTTTAGGTTTCAGAGTTTGAAGACTTACGAATCCGAACCACGACGTCATTCAGCCTGTTTAGGACTGTGTACAGACCATCCCATGGTGACTGTAATTTCGGACAAAGTCTTTTCCGTCGAGTCGGATTCCACAACCACACCTTGTCTCCTTCGTGGAATTGATGTTCAGTAGCTCTTGTGTCGTATCGGGTCTTCATCTTCTCCGTCGCCAAGTTGACTCGCTCTCGTGCAAAATTGTGCATCACTTCAAACCGGGCCTGGAGATCTTGAATATATTCCTCAGACGATGAAGGAGCATCCGGAGGGCGGCCAAACAATAGATCACAAGGCAGACGAAGGTCACGACCGAAGAGTATCTGTGATGGAGAATAGCCGGTAGTCTCGTGGACAGCACTGCGGTAAGCCAGTAAAAAGAGTGGTAATTTCTTGTCCCAGTCCTGTTGGTTTCTGGAAACCACTAATGAGAGGTTATTAAGGATGGTTCGATTGAACCTCTCTACCATGCCGTCCGACTGGGGATGCAATAGTGTCGTTTGAGTTTTGTCAATGCCAAGTAGTTTGCATAGTTCCTTGATTACTGCTGAGGCAAAATTCCTTCCCTGATCGGAATGTAACTGAAGAGGCACTCCGAACCTGGAAATCCAGCGCTGTATCATTACCTCAGCTACTGTGACTGCCTCTTGATCAGGAATAGGATAAGCTTCAGGCCACTTGGTGAAGTAATCAATGACAACGAGTATGTATTTGTTGCCATCAGCAGTTCGTGGCAGAGGTCCCAGGATGTCAAAGGCGATACGTTCAAAAGGCACACCTACGTTGTAACATTGCAGTCTGCCTCAGCTGTGTTTCCTCGGTCCTTTTCGACCTGCACAGGCACCGCAAGATCGGCACCACTTTTGCACGTCATTCTTTGCATTATTCCAGTAAAAGCGCTCACGAACTCTCTGTAAGGTCTTCATAATTCCAAAGTGACCTCCTGTAGGGCTGTTATGTAGTTCTTTGAGGACATCAGGAATCCAGGATCTTGGAAGTATCAGTTGCCATCGGAACGTCTTCCCATCATCCGACTCGAATTTCTGGTATAAGACGCCGTTTCGAATGTGAAGTGAATCCCAGAGTGCCCAGTATTGTTTTGTTGTAGGACTACAGATAGAAATGTCCTGCCATGTAGGTTTTCTGTTTGATGACTCTATTAAATCAAGTATGGGGTTTAATGTCGCGGTCTTCCATTTGGTTTTCCTGACTTCATCATCACTCCACGGGTCTCGATCAGCCGATGTTGATGTTGTAATTTGTCTTGCGACCGGAGTCAGCAGCTCGTATTTCGCTTCCACCCTGGAACAATATCGGCAGTTTTCTGGACAAGGTCTTCTAGACAGGGCACCGGCGTTTCCGTGTGATGATCCCTTACGATGACGGATAGTGATGTCATATTCTTGGAGTCTCTGTATCCACCTGGCTATTTGACCCTCAGGATTTTTGAAATTTAAAAGCCAGGCCAATGAGGCATGGTCCGTGCGGAGGAGGAATTTTCTCCCGTATAGATAATGATGGAAATGTTCTACAGCTTTGACTATGGCGAGTAACTCTTTCCTTGTGACACAGTAATTCCTCTACGGTTTAGACAGGCACTTGCTCCAGTAAGCTACTACACGTTCTTGGCCGTCTATTTCTTGGGAACAAAACAGCGCCGACACTTTCATTGCTCGCGTCCGTGTCGAGAATAAATGGTCTGTCGAAGCTGAGGATACGTCAGGATTGGAGCAGATGTTAAAGCTTCCTTTAAGTTGTTAAATGCATCATCGCATTCCTTTGGTCCACAAGAATCTTTTGCTTGCTCTCTGTCAGCTTGTGAAGGGGTCTTGCGATGGAAGAAAAGTCTTTCACGAATCTCCTCTATAGTAGGTGCAAAGCCCTAGGAAGCTTCCTCAGCTGATGGACATTTTCGGGACGCGTTCCAGGATTTAACCGCTGATACCTTTTCAGGATCCGTGCACACACCTTCTGCAGAGATGACATGTCCCAAGGTAAGTCACTTCCTTTCGAAACATTTGCATTTAGCGGGAGTCGAGCTTCAGATTGGCTTCTTTCAGTTTCTTGAAGCACCTTTCTAAGATTTTCTAGATGCTCTTGTCAAAACTCTTTCCGACAATGATGATATCGTCCAGGTATATCAGACAGGCTTCGTAGGAAAGACCTTTCAAAACAGTCTCCATAAGACGTTCGAATGTTGCCGGCGCATTACACAGTCCAAACGGCATCACCTTGAACTGCCAAAGTCCTTGTCCCGTAGTAAATGCCGTCTTTTCTTGGTCATCAGGATGCATTTCTACCAGCCAATACCCACTCTTTAAATCAAGTGTTGAGAACCACTTGCTTCCAGAAAGAGTGTCTAGAATGTCATCAATTCTAGGAAGAGGGTAACTGTCTTTCTTCGTAAGCTCATTCAACCGGCGATAGTCAATGCAAAGTCTTGTTGAGCCGTCTTTCTTTCTGACGAGAACGATGGGAGATGCCCATGGACTCGCTGAAGGCTCGATGACATCGCCTTCTTCCATATCTTTTAACAGTTTTCGCACCTCTTCCTGTTTAGCAAACGGTAGATGTCTTGGATGTTGCTTGATCGGGGGATGATCGCCAGTATCTATTCTATGTTGTGTCAAACTAGTTTGACCCACGTCAGAAGACGAGCGGGAGAAAACAACTTGAAGATCTTTAATGACGTGATCGGCAGCATTTTTCTCCTTATCGTTTAATTGTGCATTCTGCAATACCTCCGATGTAATGCTCTCTGAGGACACGGATTCTGGGATGATACTCTTTCTTTCAACGCTGGTTACTGGAGTACATGTTGCAACCACTTCACCTTTCTTAATAACTCTCGACTTTTCAGTTACATTGGCGACTCTCACCGGGATAACCGTTCTGGATAGGTCGATGAGTGTTCAGGCTACTAATACTCCTTTTGGGATATTACAGTTATTGGGATATTCTATGATGCCGTAGCGGAAATTTCTATTTTCGGCTATGGATCCAGGAAGTAAAATTTCTGTTCTTGCCGGTATTGTAATATAGTCTTGTGCTATGATTTTATGGACAGATTTAACTTCTTCATCATTAATGAGAAATAACGCTATGTCCTCAGATGTAGAATGCAATTCGTTATTTTTAAAATCCAAGGAAAAATTGTATTTCCTTAGAAAGTCCAATCCGAGTATGCAAGAATCAGAGATCTCTGCTACATATGCCGTGTGATGGTAAGCGGCACTTCCAAACGTGATGTTAACATTTACTTTTCCGTCGATGTCGATCTTCTCACTGGACACAGTCTGGAGGGTAACGCAGGGCGGCGTCCAGATAAGTTTGTTTCCTAGTTGTTGAGCCAAATCTTTTCGGATGATGGTGACGTTGGCTCCTGTATCTATAGTCATATTGCACGGAACTCCATTAATATGTCCTATTATGAAAAGTCCATTACTGCCGCCTCTCACTGCAGAAATCTGAAGCGCTTTAAACGGGGCTTTTCATTATCTGGCAACCTCCGCCCCGCGAGATGGCCACTAATTAGTTTCCCTGCTGCTTGTTAGAAGCGGTCTTAACATCAGTACCCTGGGGTGTTTTGCAGTTTCGTCGTATGTGTCCTTCAGCACCGCAGTTCCAGCACTTAACGGTCGGTTTCTTCTCACCAATATTCCGTCTCAAGGCGTTCAGTTGTCTAGTTAAATCGTCAAGTCGAGCGGTGACTTGATCCCCTGGCTCCTGGACTTGAGCAGCTCTGACTGGGT